AGCCTGATACGCCTGAGGATGAGCATGGGAGCCTGTGGGGGAAAGAACACTACAGTAAATGAGGTCAGAGTGGTAACAAGTGTTCCAGATATTTAGGATCTTATACACTATTGTGAGTACTGTGGCTTTTACACTGAGTGAAATGGGGCACAAACATAGGGTTCTAAGCAGAAAATGTGACACTAAAAAATCACTCTGGCTGCTGGATTCACATTAGACTGTGGGCAGGCAAGTGCAGAAACACAGAAACTAGTCAGGAAATTATTAACGAGATATAGGTAAGAGATGACAACGGCCAGACCAATGTGGTAGCAGTAAAGGTAGTAAACTTTTTCAAACATACAGAGAAGGAGAATATTATGGCAAGCAACCATATGCCAATCACAGAGATTTAACATTCTGCCATATTTGCTCCATATTATTTGGGTTTTTTTCTTTTTTATGTTTTACTCCTAAAAACTCCACTATACATCTCTAATAAGTAAGGCACTTTCCTGTATAACATGAGAATGTATTCTCATGTTCTCATACTACACCTAATACAGAAATACTCCCAAAATACCATCTAATACTCAGTCAATATTCAAATTTCCTCCATTATTCTCTAAATGTCTTTTATAGTTGGTTGTTCAAACAAGATCCAAGAAGAATTATACATTGCATTTGTTTTTGAAATCGTGGTAAGAACACAACGTGCGATCTACCCTCTCAACAATGTCTAATTTTTAAGTGCACAGTACAGTACAGGCACAATGTCATACAGCAGATCTCTAGAACTTATTCATCTTACATAACTGAAACTTTATACCTGAACAGCAACTGCCCACTTCCCCCAACTCCCAGCATTCTGTTCTCTGTTTCTACGCATTTGATCATTTTAGACACTTCCTGTAAGCAGAATGATGCAGTATTTGTCCTTCTGTGACTGGCTTATTTCACTCAGCATAAAAGTCTTCCAGGTTCATCCGTGTTGTCGCATACGGCAAGATTTCCAAGAGCCATGCAACGCATTTGGGTAGTGTCTGCCTGTCTCTATCTCTTTAGGCTCTTTAGTCTAGAACAGTCCACCCCCTTCCTTTTTACTCATGACATTGCCTTGAGGAGACTAGGTCAAGCAGGCTGTAAAACAGCCCACTTTCTGGATTTGCCTAATTGTTTCCTCCTGACTTCATCTAACTTGTTCCTCTCGCCTCTGTATTTTTCTGTACAGTGGAAGTTAGATCTGAAGGGTAGATTAAGATATATTTTTAAAGTATAGTTATCAGGATTTCCTGACAGGTTGGATGTGGGATGGGGATAAAAAGAAAGAAAGGCTCTACGGTATGAACAACTGGAAGGCAAGAAATGCCAACAAGTGAAATAAGAAGACTTTTGACTGAGTGGGTTTGGGATAGAAGACAGGGAGTTTTGCTTAGATATGATAACTCTGAGGTGTCTAATAGACCCGACTGGAAATGTAAAGTAGACAATCAGACAAGTCTGAGCTCAGAGGAAAGATTCACGGGAGTCATTACAACACGAATGATATTTAAACCCATGAGACGAGATGAAATCATCAAGGGAGTGAGAGCAAACAGGAAAGAGAAGAGGAACAAGGCCCGAGTCCTTAAGCACTCCAGCGTCATCAGGAAGTAGGAGAAAAAAGAAAAAACCAGCAAAGGAGACGCAGATCATCCAGCAAGAGAGGAGAGACACGTGGAGGCAACAGTACTCTGGAAGCCAAATTCTAAAAACTGTTACAGGGAAGTAAGCAGATGAGCCCGCGTCCTTCAAATGCTGCTCCACGTCCAGATAAGGTCCACATTAGTATCAGCAATGTACAGATAACTGGTGGCCTAATAAGGGCAGTTTTAATATAATGGTGGGGAAAACCCTGACTGAAGTGGATTTACGAGAGCAGGAGGAGAGGAATCCCTGACAGTTGGGTATAGACTATTCTTTAAAGAAGTCTTGCTGCAAAGGGGAGGAGAAATGAAATAAAATAATGACTGACAGAAAAGAGATCATAATAAGTATTCCTTTCTCTCTTTCTTTTTTTTGGTGAGGAAGATTGGCTCTGAGCTAACGTCTGTTGCCAATCTTCCTCCTGCTCCTTGAGGAAGATCGTCACTGAGCTAACATCTGTGCCAATCTTCCTCTATTTTGCATGTGGGTTCCACCAGAGCACGGCTTGATGAGTGGTAAAGGTCCATGCCCAGGATCTGAACCCGTGAACCCCAGGCCACCAAAGTGGAACAAACAAACATAACCACTACAACACTGGGCCAGGCCCACAATAAGTACTTTAAGAAAAAAAATTTATTTTTTTGAGGAACATTTACCCTGAGCTAACATCTGCTGCCAATCCTCCTCTTTTTGCTGAGGAAGACTGGCCCTAAGCCAACATCTGTGTCCATCTCCCTCTACTTTATACGGGGAACAGCTGCCACCGCATGGCTTGCCAAGTGGTGCATAGGTCCAGACCAAGGATCTGAACCCCAAAACCCCGGGTTGCTGAAGCAGAACGTGTGAACCTAACCACTACGCCACCAGGCTGGCTCCCTCACAATAAGTATTTTTAAGGAGAAAAGAAATAACACTTTGTTTGCATGCTAATGGATATGATCCAGTAAAGAAGGGAAAACTGACCATGTAGGAAAGAGGGGAGAATTGGTAAAGTGATGATTTCAGTAGGTGAAAGGCAATGGGATCCAATATACAAAGTGCAGGTACTGATTTTAAGACGGGACCTTTCCTCCCACCCCACAGCTTGTATGCAGTAAAAGGCAGCAAGGCAAAGCCAAACTGATGCTGGAAGTGGGTAAAAGTAGTCACGGGATTCTACGGAAATTCTCTTTTACTTGTTTCAACTTTCTCAGAAGTAGGATGTATCCTACTTTGTACAGTGAGCAGATGAGTGAGAGCGGGTAGGCGATACTGGAGGTCTGAAGAGAGAAGTGTGAGATAGTCATCTAGAAGAGTGAAAGGACTGGGGAAGTACAGTTTGGCTGTGGGATTCCATAAGGTAACACGTGTGGTTTCACAGTGATAAATTTCAATAAGATTCCTCAGCATACTTGTGTTTTTTTCCAGCTAGATTCAGCTGTATAAGTGAGAAGCAGAACTGAAAGGACATCAGATTTAACCAGAGTGGTGGTTTTGCCAAACAAACACAAAGTAATGAGAGAGGCGCAGAGGAGCCAAAAATGAGGAGTGATTATGATTGACTATGGAATTTCAGCTGAATAAGAGGAAAGAAAGAGAGGGGAAGGTGAAGGACAGTGCTGAGATTCCACTGGCATTAGAGAATTGAAGAATTATTGGAAACCTGGTACCAGAGGGAGTAAGATAGAAAGATAGGAAGTACTGATCTGACAGTGGTAAAAAAAAAAAAAACCCGAGGGGCCAGCCTGGTGGCGTAGTGTTTGAGTTTGTGTGCTCCCTTCAGCAGCCTGGGGTTCACTGCTTCGGATCCTGGGCACAGCCCTATATATCACTCGAGCCATGCTGTCGTGGCATCCCACACAGAACTAGAATGACCTACAACTAGGATATATAACTATGTACTGGGGCTTTGGGGAGGAAAAAAAAAAGTTGGGCAACAAATGTTAGCTCAAGGTCAATGTTCCTCATCAAAAAGAAAAAGAAAAAAAGGACTTAGGTGAAGCTCTCTAGACCATTCAAAGGCTAAAAATTATTTGGGCACCACTCAGAGGTGACCATGAAAATCACAAGATCACTCTTCTTAGACTGCTAGAACCAGGGCTGGTCAGGTTTCAAACGAGCCCTCTCGAACTCCATCAAAAAGTCTGTGTGCCTGTATATGTGGAGAGATGTGTCATGTCCGTCACAGAAGAAAGCAACAGCAAGCTATAGTTTTCAAGCACGAGTCCCCAGTCCTCAGGTGCATGGATTCTCTGAAATGCAGGCAACTGAGCTGCTTCCCAGACGGGCAACCCTACACAACTCACTGCAGGGTGAGCAGCCTCAAGACTTAATTGAACGATGACATGATTCTCAACAGAACCGCAGCAAACCACAGCTAGTCACATGCAAATCTTTTAGCATCATCAGGCTGACAGATGATCAGGGCTTCAAAAGACAACAGTATCCCCAAATCATGTCACACCTAATGACCTCTTAAAGTCACAGGTAATTCTTTATTTGAACAATTTCTAGGTCAAAAGTTGAAGACAGCCATACAGAATCAATTTTATAACCATTATGTTTTCAAAGTAGTTAGAAGGAAAGGATCACGTATGCTCTATATATCCCAAACAAATATTTCATTGCTTTAGTCATTCAGTAAATATAAGCACTCTTGATGCAGACTGAACCATGAGAAACTGCTGTTATTTGACTGGTTTTGACCTACAAAGAAGGGCATTTTCATACTGTTCAACCCAACACCAGGCATTGCCCTAGGTGCTAATATGCAACAGTGAACAAAACAAATTCCCAGCCTCTGTGTGGAGCTTACATTATGTTTGTGCATGTTTGTGGAAGGCTGGGAGGGGGAAGCAGCAGATAAATAAACAAGCAAATATATGGTATATCAGATGGTATTAATACTTCGGAGAAGAACACAAAAGGTTAAAAGGGATACAGAGTAGCCCAGGAGAATGGTTGCTGCTTATTTTATATGGGCGACCAGGGAAGGCCTTACTGATACAACATTTGAGCAGAATCCTAAAGAAAACGGGAGTAAACCTCTTACATTCTACTACAGTGGTAAAATAGGGTCATTAACATGTAAATTTCTACCAAGTTATGATGAAAAACACAACAAATAATTCTGCTAAAACCACTGGCACACTACAATAATACAGCTATACTTAAACTTGCAGCCAATCTGTACCTAAACAAGTACGTGCCATCAAAATTACAGCTGCTGCTTACCGTTCTTATTCCATAGGCAACACAAGGTTCATGTAAGCACTTTTATTTTTTTGTCCATGTTTTCAATCTAATAAATATCCATGTATAAGAACATACAAGACAATAAAGTAATCTATTCTTACATCTTTTGAAGAACCTGGGCCATCACAACCCCATTCGTTAAATCTTCCACGGTCTGGCATGATGCATCCACATTAAATGTCTGGATCTGAAAAAAAAAAATAAAAGCGGGGGCGGGGGGAGAGGGGAGAAGATTCCATGGTTAACTACACAGAAGATTTCTCAGGCTTGTTTTTGTGATTACCTCATCTTGGGAGCTGGAACAAAGTTTAAAAAGCAGAACGGTTGGAAATTTTTTCCCTTATGGGAAATTTCCTATAGGTTATTATTTAATTTTTTCCCTTCGGTAAAAGAGAAATTGTGGTGGACCCTGGGTGACTTTCCAGCATCCGTTCTCCTCACAGATGACCAATCTAAGAAAGTCATAGTACTTTTTTTTAAAAATAGAGTTCATAATAGTTTACATCAATGTGAGATTTCAGCTGTACATTATTTCTTGACTGTCACCACAGAAAGTCATGGTACTCTGATCCTCTCCACCAGTGACTGACTCAGGGATGCACAGGGCAAACACAATTTGGAACAAAGAGATGCAAGGGGATGCTTACTTGAGCTTCTAGGGAAAAAAACCCCAATCTCTTCTTGATGGGAGTAAATGCGCTGCCTCAAATGCCACCAGGAGTCATCTTACGACCATTAAGGGAATTACTCTTAGGATGAGGCCATTGCACTTGATGACAAAGAAGAGGGATACAAACAACTAGGTCCTTGAGGCCAAAATTGAGCCACAGAATTAAGAAAACTTGAGGCCTCCTATTATGTGAGATAAGTTTCTTGTTTAAGCCTGGCCAGGTTGAGAATGCTTTTACTTAGAGCCAAAATATCTTTATACTGACGCAGAAGTCACAGTTACTACAATTAGGTTAGATATGCACTCATTTTGATTTTAAATGTATTTCTGAATTATTAGAACTAACTTAGTACTGGTCAACATGATGTGGCCAAGAAACAGCAGAAATTATTTCTATGAGTAAGATAATACAGCTAAAATGATTATACCCAGTAGTGCAACCAGGACTTAGAAGGAAATAAATCACTGAGAATAGACAGATGCAAGTCATGTTCTCACACAGTTTAATGGTTAGTAAAATGAAAGAGTTTTATAGGAAATGTAAATAGCAAGCACAAAGATTAGAAGTGAGAGTGTGGTGCAACCTAGGAATGAAAGGCAGTTTGGGATGGGCATCAGAGGAAGAGATGTAAGAGGGAAAAGCGTAAAACAGTGAAAGATAGGGTTAAAGAGGAAGGATTACCGAGCATAACCTCATGAGCCATGTCAGGACTTTATCCTAAGAGCACTGAGGAGGCGGCAAAGGAGTGTCAGTAGGAGAGCGAGGCCGTGAGAACTGCGCTGTGTAAGGATCACACTGGCTGCAGGACGAAGACAAGACCGGAGGGGAGGCAGGGAGGCCTAGTCCAGCAGGTTTATATACGAACGCAGACGAGGCCACGCTAGGTAGTGACAATGGAAACAGTGGAAATAACACTCGGGTAACCATTTGTCAACACACATGTTTATTTTTTGGGGTATAATCCTAGAAGTAAAACTGCTGAGTCAAAGTATATGCACATTTTAAGGTTTTTGATAAATATTGCCAAACTGCCCTTAATAAATGCTATAGCGATTTACTAACAGCGGGTGAGCATCCACTTCTCTGTACCTTATCATCTCCCAATCTTAAAAAAAAAAGTACTATTGGGGGCTGGCCCCGTAGCCGAGTGGTTAAGTTCACGCACTCCGCTGCAGGCGGCCCAGTGTTTCGTTGGTTCAAGTCCTGGGCGCGGACATGGCACTGCTCATCAGACCACGCTGAGGCAGCGTCCCACATGCCACAAGTGGAAGGACCCACAACGAAGAATATACAACTATGTACCGGGGCGCTTTGGGGAGAAAAAGGAAAAAAAATAAAATCTTTAAAAAAAAAAAGTACTATTAACAAGTGCAGTTAGTTTCTACGTGTTTTCTATAGAGGAGAGTCTTGTGGGTAGTGATGGCTATGGTGGTGGAAACCAAGGGATTAATTATCGTAAAGATTGCACAGCAGGAGGTTTTTACTTAGGTATTTATGTAAGAGAGGTGATGAAAAGAGGCCCTTTCCCAGCCACCTCCTGACACTAACCTTATACATGGCAGAAGTTCAGTAAATAATTAGTAAATGAATAAAGAAAACAAATAAACATCATCTGAAGGCACTGATACTGAATTTTACTCCACACTACCTCCAGTTGCCTCCTCAACGGTAATATGATAATGACGTACTTTACAAAGAAATAAGCATCTGCTTTCATATTACAGGTGCTAAATCAATCTCTTTCTTGTAGGTTTGTTTAGAATGAAAAAGAGGCAGCAGTGTGGGCCATAATCTCATTTCTCTCTTTATCATTAACCTTAGCACAATGCCTGATACAGAATAAGCCCTCAGTGAATATGCTTTCAATGTAATGAACTAATCCTATCCCCAGCTTTGCTCCTAATTTGCTGCCTGACCTTGGATGTGCCACTTTACCTCTCTTAGAATGTTTTTCAATATAGACTGGGAAAAATACCTTACGGAGAGGTGTGTGTTCCTTAAAGAACGAATGAGAAAAAGAACCCCTATTAGGTATTTTGAAAAGTCTAAAGCAGTGGTTCCCCAACTTGGGTGTACATCAGAGTCATCTGGGAAGCTGGAGGCGGTTGGGAATCTATTTCTAACAGGTTCATTGAATAATTCTTAGGCATCGGGACACTGATTTGGCATTCAGAACTCTCTGATCCGAAGCAGGAGCAAATATAACAGATGAAAGATCAGAAAACCGCCCTTGGCCAATCAGAAGAAACAACTCAACACAGCAGGTAATTCAATAATGCAAGTAATTTAGTTGTAAGGCACTATCTATTTCTCTCTTAGGACTTAAAAAAAAACAACTATTTTCATTTTGATTTTTAAAAGGTGGCTTCCAAACAATTAGTTTCTCTGTATTGGCTCTTGAGGTAAATAGCAGCTCATGAGGGCTACAAGATGTCCACCTCTGCTTTTTTAATTTTTTTGAGGAAGATTAGCCCTGAGCTAACATCTGCTGCCAATCTTCTTCTTTTTGCTGAGGAAGACTGGCCCTGAGCCTACATCCATGCCCATCTTCCTCTACTTTATATGTGAGACACCTACAACAGCATGGCTTGCCAAGTTGTGCCATGTCGGCACCCAGGATCGAAACCAGCGAACCCCAGGGCACCGAAGCGGAATGTGCGCATTTTGCTGCACCAGCGGGTCAGTCCCTGTCCACCTCTGCTTTGAGATAAAAGTAAAGCAGATGCCAAAGAAAATCTATCCCTGTGGAGTTTCCTTTTGCGGTGGTGAAAATGTTCTTGGAATTAGACAGTGGTGATGGCTGGCTGCACAACCTTCTGATCATACTACAAACCACTAACTGTACACTTTAAAGAATGAATTTTATGGTATGTATATTATATTTTAATTTCTAAAAAGAAATCTATCACCTACCAGTTCTCATAAACTCTGAGTTAACATCTACAGGATATTTCAGGATAGCAGTACAGTAAAATTTAAAGATAACTGTACCTAACTGCATTATGGCATCAAATTCTACCCGGAGGGTCATAACCTCTTTTAATTCCAAGCAGCTCTATTAACACCATCCAATCCTCTCCCTCCCCCCGCAAAAGCACGAGAAGAGTAAAGCATGAGATCACCTGGAACTAGTACTCTAGAGCAGTGGTTCTCAACCAGGGGTGATTTTGCTCCTTACCAGACATTTTTGGTTGTAACAACGAGGTGGGTGCTACTGGCATCTAGTAGGCAGAGACCAGGGATGCTACTATTAAACGTCCTACAACGCACAGGGGACTGCCTACAACAAAGACCCCAAGTGTCAATAATGCTAAGGTTAACAAACCCTGCTCTGGAGCAGTGGTTCTCAAAGTGTGGTCCCCAGGCCACCAACAATAGCATGACCTGGGAACTTGCTGGAAATGCAGAATCTCAGGCCCCAGCCCAGACTCACTAAACTACAAACTCTGGACATGCGGCCTAGCAATGAGTGTTTTATTTTTTTTTTTTTTTTAAAGATTTTATTTTTTCCTTTTTCTCCCCAAAGCGCCCTGGTACATAGTTGTGTATTCTTCGTTCTGGGTTCCTCTAGTTGTGGCATGTGGGACGCTGCCTCAGCGTGGTCTGACGAGCAGTGCCATGTCTGCACCCAGGATTCGAACCGACGAAACACTGGGCCGCCTGCAGCGCAGCGCGCGAACTTAACCACTCGGCCACGGGGCCAGCCCCAGCAATGAGTGTTTTAACGAGACCTCCAATGATGCTGATCAATGCTAACATATAAGAACCATTCTGAGTGTTAAATTGAACACAATCAAAACACAGAAGTTTTGTTCAATATCACTTACAGGAGGAAACAAAAAAAAGGACTTGAACCCAGGTGGTCTAATCTCAGAACCCATATTCTTTTTAAAATTTTTTATTTATTTTTGCTGAGGAAGATTTGCCCTGAGCTAACATCCATGCCAATCTTCCTCTATTTTGTATGTGGGTCACTGCCACAGCATGACTGCCGATGGGTGGTGAGGTCTGTGCCTGGGAACCAAACCCAGGCAGCCAAAGTGGAGTGTGCCAAATTTAACCACCAGGCCACAGGGCCAGCCCTTATACTCTTTTTTTTTTTTCAAAAAAAATTATTTTGAGGTCATATTGCTTATAACTGTGTAAATTTCAGGTGTACATTATTATATTTCAGTTTCTATATAGACTGCATCATATTCACAACCAATAGTCTAGTTTTTATCTGCCACCATACATATGTGCCCCTTTACACTTTTCACCCTCCCCGGACTCCCTTCCCCTCTGGCAACATGGAACCTATACTCTTAACTACCATGTTATACATAGCCTTGATTGAAAAAAAAAAGTGTGGCCAGGCCAGTGGCATAGTGGTTAAGTTCATGTGCTCCACTTCGGTGGCCCCAGGTTCACGGGTTCAGATCCTGGGCATGGACCCACCCACTGCTCATCAAGCCATGCTGTGGTGGCATTCCACATACAAAACAGAGGAAGACTGGCAAGATGTTAGCTCAGGACAATCTTCCTCACACACACACACACACAAAAGAAAATGCAAGCCTTAAAAAAAATACGTGCTTTAACGTTTGTACATCTGATTTTTTCATTCCTACATTAGAAGACAAAAATTGTTGGTACAGTGGAGTTAGGCAGAGCAGAGAGAATGGAATGAGGAGCACAATATCATAAAAAAATGATACCCTCCCTAATTCCATATACTGGTACGCATTTTATAGGCTGCTAAAGAAGTAATACAGAAATTATAAGGATATGTTACTGCTGCTGGGTTTCCCAGAAGAGACACACTAAGCCCCTGTGATGATCCTTCCCCACTTATCTTCCTGCCATTAACTGACAGCATTCCACATTCCTTCTGGCTTTTCAGTCTCTAAAACATAGGGAAGAGCAATCTTTTCATGTATATTTCAAGAAATTAGGCTTGACAAGGGTAAGAGGAAGGGCAGATTTTCCGAACAGGTAAGAATACATTTTGACACAGAGGGCGGGGAGAGGAGGCAGAGTGGAAATTCTCAAGCACATCCTGCTGAACTTGCTTGCTGGGTAAACTTTGATCTGGAATTTAAGCTTAAGATGTTTTCCATTGTAGGATGATACTTTGTCTTTTCATAAGTATTCCTCAACAAAAATTTGAAACATTTGTTCCTGGGGCTAGTAAGCTCTCTGATAAACAGCCATTTATCCAGCGTTTGGGGCAATGAGATGTTCCACGGAAATGAATTCTACATCAGTGACTAACAGTCACTCTTTAAGCGCTTGAGCTTTTATTATTCTAACCATTTCTATCTAGTAGAGGAATTTCTAAAATATACTATATACCTCTTACCTCAAACTCGATGGCATATAGTGAAAATAACCTTTTATTTGATATTCAGGATCATAATTATGATCTTCAATTACTGAACATGGAGGCTTCTAGAAGTGTATCAGGCTGTCAGCTCAACATCTGACTCACCCAGACTGAACTTCCAGTCCTTGGGTCTGTCACTGACAGCTGTCTGTTTTGCTTAGGGCTGCACTTACTTTCTAACCTGCTGGATGCAAAGAAACCACACAACTAAGTTGCCTAGAAGTTTATGTAAAACAGAGTAAGTTATTCTAAATAGGAGTCTTTTTTTTTTTTTTTTTAGTGTATTGCATACATTTTTTCCCTTACATGTGCTTTTGGGATTGTATTCAGCATTACTCTGGTCTCCAGATATGAGGGGTGCTACTAGACTAAACATACACTTTCAGCCACCTCAAACATTTTTCACAAACATTTATTTTGCGTTTTATAACAACTAAATGAGAACAAACCTCGCATTCAAATTCGTTTAATTTGAAACATTTCAATGTACAATGTTTTAAATTGTTTCCAAATCTTAGAATTGTATTATTTTCCTGTGGATTCTCCCCACCAGTTTCCTCACTGATAATCTCTAATCTTATCTTCTCCAAAATTTTTCTTGATGAGCCTTCCTGTGACATTTCAAAAAGTCTTCTCTATGACACCATATTCCTTGACCTCTCTACAGTTGATAACCTGGATTATCTGTTTTCCTGACATTTTAGTAGATTCTAAATAGATGCTCTTGTACTGTGTGCTTCTGTTAGTATTCCTTCAAACTTCCCTCCAGGATTCTTCCTCTACACTTTTATCAGCATTCCTCACTCAAATTAGTGCAGTATCTTTTTGCAGACGCCCTTCAAATACACTTCTGTTTCCATGACTTATCTTTCTAGACTTTAAACAAAGGAGGCCCACTTCAGATTCAATTAGCTTCCTCATCTTTGCCCTCTTGCCTCTTTTTCTACAATTGAGGAAGGCACTACTTGTACAGACTGAAAAACACACATCTTAAGATCATCAATCTTCTATTTACAACCGCTGACACATCTTTTTCTTCCATAATATCAAAGAATGTGGTAATTCTTTCCTTTATCTCTCCCCTGCCCAGTCAAACCCTGGCCACCTTACGAAGCTTACCAATTTCTCTCCTCTAAAATACAGCAGTGAAACCCATCTCCCGGCCTGAAATTGGAACCCATGACAGTCGTAACCTGTATGTTAACTACATATTGCTAGAAACCATCTGAAATCCCAAGAATGCCCTAGTATAAAAGTTACTGACTATATGAAGCTCTATTATTATATACAGTTTCATAAAACATAATTTGATTCGTGACATAAACCAAATTATGAAAATCTCAAACTATTTTCATTACGTTTGTTACAACCAGCCTAAGGCAATGCTTCTCTAACCTTTCCACCGGAGTGCCCCACGCAAAGAGTGACGTCAATACTCCAAGGATCCGAACTTGTAACCCACGGCACCGCTAACAGAATTTCTGACATCTGTTTTACCTTTGACGTTAAAACAAATGCGGCAGTCACCTCCATAAATATATTAGTGTTTTATTCTAGAAATGATATTTTACATTTTAAGCAATGAGTAAAACGAATGCTCCCTAACGAAGCACTAGGTTTATCCTGTGGTTCTGCAGACCTCTACACACGCACACCAAAAACTGGAATCACAGTTTGAGAAACACACAAGCAAGGGTTTATGTTCAGCTCTTCAAGACACCGCCAAATGTACGGTAGTCGGCATGAGAATTGAACACATATTTACTCCCAAAAGTGAGAATTTTAATAAGCGCGTAATAACTTAAAATTAGGATCCCACAACGTTGCCCCAAAATGTCGAGTTCCATTACTGATTCCCAAACACCTTCCAGATTTATTTTTACCTTCATCACCTCTAACGAGCATCTCCACACCGCTTGCTTTCTAACCGCCCAAGCGCATCTCGCGTTTTCCCTACTCTCCCTGAAAAGTGCTGCTCGCTTCCTCCCCGGAGCGCCGGCCCCTCCCGGGGCTCCGCTCCAGGCTCCGCGCGCGTGACAACAAAGGCGAGGGCCGCCGCCACCGGGTCCGAGGGCCGCAGCCGGCGGCGTGGGCGGGGGACGGGCGCGCACAACTGCGTGCAGCTCACCGCGCCGCCCGCACCCCGGCCCGGCAGCCCGGCCAGTTCCCCGGGACCCCGCGGCCGCCGCCCCGGCCCGCCCCGGTGGACGCGGCCCGCGCCCCGGCTCCGCCCGCCCAGGCCCCGGATGTGACGGCACCGCCGCCCTGGGCGCTCGCCCCCCGCTCCGGCGTGGGGGATCCCGGAAAGGCGGCCTGGGGGAGGGGTCCCGACCCGCCGCGCGCCACATACCCAAGTGAGAAGGCTCTCGCACAGCTCCACCCGCTCCACCGACTCCACGCTGAACATCTTCCCCGGCTGCGGCCTGGCAGCGCCTGCCGCCTCGCCAGAAACCGCTGCCGCTCGGGCTGGGCCGCGTCGGGGGTCCGGGCAGCTGACGGGGCCTCTGGCCCACCTCCTCCTCGGGCCGGGCGCCGACGCTTGTCCGGCGCTCCCTGAGGCTCCCGCACCGTCACCCCCGCGCCCCTCCTTCTCCTTTCGCTCGGGACCGCGCGCCCGCCGCGCGCGCCCGCCGCCCCGCCCCCGGCCTCACGGCCCTCCCCCCGAGAGCGCCGGCCGGCCAGAGGCGGCCGCCGCGCCACTGCGCACGATCCGGCCGGCCTCCCGCCGCGCGCCCGCCGCCCCCGCTGCGTCTCGGCGCGCACGCGCACGCGCACGCGCACGCGCCCTCGCGGAAGCCCGGCAGTGCGCGTGCGCCGGTGCAGCGCTCCACAGTAGAAAGGGACAGCTAGTGGTTGCCCGGGAGGGTGGCGGGGGCCGTCCCCGGAAATAATCTCTGTTCTCAGTCACCGGGAGTTGGCGAGGTATCCTCTGCGGTGGAGAGGTACGCGCACCCCCAACCCCCGCCGCCGCACGCGGCGGCCACTCCCCCGGCTCCGGCTCGCGGGGGCCGCCGGGAGGGCTCAGGCGTGCGCGGCCTGCCCGGGGGTCGCCTCTGGGCTGCCGAGGCTCTTCGGGGCGGGGGAGTTGCGGCCTCGGACCCCAGGACCCCGCCTTCCTTCTGGAAGCCGGGGTCTAAGCCTGGAGTCGCCCGGCTCGGGCCCAGACTGCCCCGGAGACGTGGAAGGGCGACGCGGAGGGCGTCCCGGTGGTTCTGGGCGGGCTGGGCCGGCGGCGAGGAGAGCCTGCCGCCCCTTCTGGGTCGCGTGGAGCCTCGGCCCCCGAAAGCCTTAAAGTGGGGAGCGGTGGGCGCCGTTCGCCCGTCCTTGAGGACCCCCACGGTTCCTAGGGCCTGTTTCTCCTAGGGCCGAGCTGAGAGCTGGCCTCTTCCTAGTGACTAGGTAGATCCTCTTGGGCTCTCACCTATTAGAGGCCTGAATCTCTGCAGAACTACCAATAAACTTTTATGAGATGTAACATATGTAGAAAAGTGCATACAACGTACATATTTAAAGAGTCATTAATAATAAAACACCCAGATAAAAATAAAGAGCATTGCCGGTACCTCAGGAGTTTCACCCGCACCTTGTGTTCCTTTCTGAGCACAGTTCCCTCCATAGACCGACGTTGATGATTCTTTTTCTTATAGCTTTACCTCTTATGTATGCATGCCTAAACAACATAGTTTTACTTTGCCTGGTTTTGGACTTTTATGAGTGGAATCATGTAGCTTTGAATTAATAGTAAATTTGTGTATATCTATAGGTATTTTTCATTGCTGTCTGGTATTCTATTGTATGACTAACAGTGTGTCCATTGTACCGCTGATGAGCATTTTGTTGTTCCAGTTTGGGGCTACTAAGAACAACGCTATAAGCATACTGATACCTAGATACTAGTGCAAACGTGGAAAAGTTTCTTTAGGATACATGCCTTGAAGTCCCAGGAGAAATGTTGAGTCATAGTTAGGCATAACTTTACCAGATGATGCCACACTTTTATTTGGGGTGCAGCAAAGGTAACTTCCCAGGACACGTCTTTGGTTTGCAGTTCATGGAGCCCTCCCTCACCCTTTTCCCATTAAGAGGAGGTTTTGTCATTGAGCGTTCAGAACTGCCAAGACAGCGTTGAGTTTTCACTGATGCATAACAGAGTACCAGTTGACAGTTCACACGTAATGATTTATCATTTTGCGAATCTGAAAAATCTTACCCCGAAGTCTTCTCGAGTCTTTCAACGCTCTTTCTTTTAAACATTCTTCCCTACACAAAGGCCAGAGAAGCCTTTAGAAATGATAAATATGTATCTCTCCTGCCCTTCTTTCTTCTAATGGTGCCTCTGGATCTTGGTCAAACCAGAGTTCCTACATTCCATGCTAGTTGTTTCTGTCGAACCCCTAGCACTTTAAGTGATCATTACCCTTGTTAGACAGGTAAAGGTAGTAAGTAAACCCGGCTCCTGGGCAACTTGTCTTTGGATGTGGAGGACAACAAGATGCTAGCCTTTTCTGGAGGACTGTGGGATAGTGAGCACTTTTACTCCAGCTGCTCAGGTTTTCAAGGCTTTGACACAATTGACCTAAGCCGCCTTTTTTTTTTTTTTCTTGAGGAAGATTAGCCCTGAGCTAACATCTGCTGCCAATCCTTTTTGCTAAGGAAGACTGGCCCTGAGCTAACATCTGTGCCCATCTTCCTCCACTTTATCTGTGGGATCCCTACCACAGCATGGCTTGCTAAGCGATGCCATGTCCACATCTGCGATCCAAACCGGGGAACCCCAGGCCTCCGAAGTGGAACGTGGGAACTTGACAGCTGCGCCACCAGGCCAGCCTCCTAAGCCTAAACCTAAGTCTAAGCCTAAACTGCCTTTTTAAGTGTGACTGCTCATCTACAATTCATTTGTGCAGGATATGACAGTGTTAATTGAGATTTCATCCTATAGCTCCAGTTACATTGGATGAAGGAAATTATATTAAAAGCTTCTTGGATGTGAGTAATTGTCTGCTGAAACCATGTGGCCATCATGTTTCTACGTGAGCTTGTGTAAAAAGACCTTCAGTTTCTTCTTTGAAGTTATGGAATTTCCTATATTTCCCTTATTTTTCTTTCTTCTTTCCTCTCTTCTTTTCTCCTTTCCTCCCTGCCTTCCGCCCTCCTTCCCTCCTTCCTTTCTCAAAGCTTTGGAAAAGCCCAGAGAGATGAGTGGAACTTATCTTAGCTGTCTCCATACTCGGGTTAGTTGGAGGCTAGTTCTCATCTACAATTGTTTATCAGATTCAGGTAAACATGGTGGTGTCCTGCATGACAATGTTCTCGAGTTCCTAGGGAATGCGTACTTAGAGCTATGATTAAAGAGAGTTTGAGAGGCTACCTAGTGCAGCTATGGGGAAGGCATGGCTAAGTCTTATCATGGTTCTGCTGATTCCTTAACGGTTGTTAATAATAGTAATCAAAATAGTATAGGTCCCATTTACTGAGAGCCCATATAATGGGCCAAGCAATATGCTAAATGCTTTACCTTCATTATGTCGTAAACTCCACAAAACAAGGCTCTTTTTTTTCCTTTTGCCAAAAAAGCGGCCGTTTTATATGGTTCAAATTAATTTTATGTCTTTTATGTATGAGGAAGCTGAGACCCAGATTTTACATAAGTACACAGTTGTCTGACTACAAAGCTGATGCGTCTTCGATATATTAAGCTATTCCTTGGTAAGATTTGGCCAGCTAATCAGTAACAAAGCCAAAGCTAGAAACTGGTTCCTCTTTAGGCTTCTGTCAATTAAAACATACAGTTTCCAAGATCTATGGTGTTTTGTTTGTATAAATCTCTAATAGTTAAAAACAGAGTACTAGAAACTCTTCTTTTCGTATTTGATGGATCTCATGAAATAGATTAGCTACCATGTTCTATCGACTAATAACATCTCCCGGTTTCAAGGAAGCAGCATTTAGTGGCCCCTACAACATGTAATGTCCCTGTGCACTGCTCAGGGGAATGAGATGTAGTCCGTGTGGGTGCCTCCCAGTGCCCTTTGCTGAGATCTTTAGAAGGCGGCCTCAGGAAGCTGAGTGTGGCGAGGGGGGTAGGTAAGAATGGCCTGGAGACGACCTCTTAAATCTTTGAGCACTGAGGCCTAATTTTCATCTCTCAAGGGAGGAAGCAGGCACTGGCTTTTATTTTTATTGTTAAAGTTGTATGTACTTGGAAAGAATTCAAACTATAGAACTGTATCCTGGGAAAGGTGAAGATCTGGCTCGCCCAGTCCTGCTCCCCACTTGTAGCCACTTTAACCTTTGGTATTTATCTTTCCTGACGTTTTTTCTATTCCAAAAGACTCTGAATCAGAGAAATGTCGTGGTGGGAGGAACTTAAGAAATCCTCAAGTCCAGCTTTTACATTTTGCGGAAAATAAGAGGCCCTAAGAGCTTTAGTGGGGTCACAGTTGTGGCAGCAGAGCTGGAGCTACCCTGAGGGCTGTTAATGGGCACGCAGCAACGCTCGGTTCGAGCCGAGCCCCTGTGCCCCTGGACAAAGTCAGCAGCGCTGTTCCGTTCTAGACAAGTCCGGACTGCGAAAAACAAAAGTTGGAGAACCGAAGTTCAGGTTGACTTAGGAGTTCATTTTCAGGACTGAGGTATTAGGTCATCTCCTCAAGTAGAAAATTGTATTTCTTTTTACTGTTTATCGCCTGTAATCTTATATCGGCCTCTTTCCAAATGGAGGAGGTGTTAGAATACCTCATTTTTGAACCTCTAGCTCCTACAGTTCCTTTTTTCACTCCGATTATAAGAAAAATGACTGGCAGAAGTTGAACTATTAAAGCCCCCTGGTAGGCCAGACACCATTAGTAGTTAGTTCTCCCTGTGAGAGCTCCGGACAACGGGAGAATGCAGCCGACCTCTGTTCCTCTCAGAAGCTTACCAACTGTCTTCTCCCTCTTCCCGTCAGGTCAAGCACCTTCTTTGGTAACACCAGAATTTATGGAAATAAAAAGTAACTCTTCATTTCAACAACATTGGGAACTTCTGCTATAAAATGATGCAAATAACATTATAGGGCCGTGACGCACTTAAAAGTATCGTGGATCTCTGAGCTCTTGGAATTGTGCATGAAGCAATATCTTCGGGGTGTAATTGTGTAGAAGTCAAACATCTCTCTATATTTTTATACAGTAGAATATATATAATTTGTACAGTAGAATGTAGTCACGTTACCACTGATTAAACCTAGAAGGACATGGGAACAAGTGTAACCCATTTTTTAAAAAAAAAGTACCAAGTAGTAAACTCTGTCAATGTATACATAGGAGAAAGTCCCCACAACTGTGAAGTAGTTAGCTTCAGAAGTTAGAGGCTGGGAATCTTGACACGGGATAACATTTTGGTTATCTTTGAGCAGGTGCAAGTAGCTCTCCCTGCCCTTAGGACTTCTGACAGCCATAGCATCTCTTATTTAAAAAGAAGAAACCTGATAAAATAAAAATCGAAATTGACTATGTGGCCCCCCCTGGATTATTGGACGCTCTTCAGTTTCAGCTGGCAGGTCATTTGATGGTTCTTTTGAGTGAAAATACTGAAGTTAAGAGCCCTTTCTCTGAGTTTCCTGGTGTACATCTTCATTATGGAGATTTGAAACCTGTCATTAGAAAGTTCTTGATATATCAGGCTATTACCATGTATAAAGTGGATGAAAGCTGCCTTTGATCTGTTCGTTTCCTTAAGTTCCTTCCAGGAGAGGTGATTTTCTTACTAGCTGTCAGTTCAGATTCTTTTCAAAAGTGTTAGACTTTCAAGCTCAAAGTTTCCTCTTAACAGAGATTCACCTGATTAATGGTGATATTGAATAAAAACGTTTTCCAGTGAGGTAAGTTACATAAATACAGAATTTTACTTTAATTATGAATAGTCAGATATATGTAATTGAATATTTTATTCCTTTATTTCCCTTGAGTTGTTTTATAAGACTTTGAACTTTAGTGTTTTGCCATCTGAAAAAAATATGAATTACCTATGTAATTCACACATACACCAGTGTGGTTGGGCTGTCTTCCCTCAAACCTATAGAGATTGGGCATTGCCATTTTTCTCTAGTTTAGAGTATGGAAAGGAGAGTTTCATATCCTCCCTTTTCTCTTCATAAGGAAATGCAGCCTCAGCGTGATTCCGTATTGCAGCAGTTCAAAGAATTCTGAACCATAACCTGAGCTTAGTCCCAGGTGAGGCTAATAGTTTCCATTAATTCAAGTAGTCTTAGTGTAGATATAAATGTCCTATAGCCTCAATGTCTTTTATTTTTCAAATTACTAACACTATAAGTAAGGGAAATCACTCTTATTTAAACGGATATTTGTTAGGCCTTACTGTGTACAGGGCATTGTTCTAGGTAATGTGGGAATATTTACGGAAGAAGACAGTATGCTTCCTCCCCTATCCGTACATGGTCAGTTCCATGCGCACATTCAGTGCTGTGAGGGAGAGAGGGATCTGATTTACTTGGAGAATTTATTTGGTATTCAAGACTAAGAAAAGAGCAGCTGTGCAAGAGGAATGTCTTTTTTTCTTAAAATTAAAGGAGCTAAGCTTGAAGAGGAAAGGATTTTTTTTAAAAAATTTGTTTTAAAAAAATGTGACTGGATGATAAATTACAGTAATTGTTTTTCTTAAAGGAAATAGAATTCTGTACTCCTCAAAATAATGTCTGGCAAATTTTAAAGAACTCATTAATGAGGCAATTCCTACTGGAGTTGTAATGCAACCTACCTTAAGTAGGCGCTACAAAAAATTAAATATATTAGAAGTCAGTTATATTTATATTGTTTTTATTGGTATATTTCATTTTTACTGTGTCATTTGTAACTTTCATCTTGTTTCTTTATCTTTAGACTTGGAATGGCCACATATCAAGGTGAAGTTCAAAGTTTGAAACTGGATGATGATTCAGTCATAGAAGGAGTAAGTGACCAAGTACTTGTGGCAGTTGTGGTCAGTTTCGCTTTGATTGCTACCCTGGTATATGCACTTTTCAGGTGAGACTAAAGGACAAAAGAATTGAAATAATATGTATTTCCAAGGGCCACTGACTTTCTCAATGCTTCCAATAATGTTTAATACTTAATATGAAAAGCAAGTAATAGATTTCAATAATTGTGTATATTTACTAAGGTATTTTATTTTCCTCTAGGCTCCAAATGCCACCATATATTTTTCCTGTCATCAACTGTCTTAGCAGATAAAAGTTAAATTTATCATCCATATTTTGAATAAAATGTCAATATTTTCTATAGGAGTATCACAGTTTAAAAATGTAATTTTCATAATTGAATCCATCACCTTGTAGGTGATAGAATAAGTGCAAAATAGTTTCAGTTTTTAAATGGAAAAATTGAGGCAAAAAAAACTTGGATAGGATTGAGGGGATTAAGATTAGAGTTAAAATTACTGTTATAGAATTTGGAATAGTACTTAAAGGTCTCGGATATCTATGTACTAATAGATAGACACTAGGTAATAAACTAGAAATTTAAGTATTAACACATGGAGATAAGTAAAATTTCATATATATTATTGAAAGCAGAAGTGGACAAAAAAGTATAAAATAGAAAAAGATTAATTCCAAAAATACAGATGAGTGAGTTTCCTGCAGAAATTATAGAAAGGATTATTAAACAGAATGTGAACACTTAGGAAAAAATGATAATTAATTTACTCTTTTACCTCTGCATGGTTAGTTTCTTATTAGGGTAATGTTATCTTGATTTCAGTAGGATATTTTACACTTAAGTGGTGATACACTTAGGAACTTAATGAGGAAGTGAGGACTAGAAGATAGCAGATTTCTGTGAATTCACACCTGGTTGACAGGTTGTTCCCAGGAGTACTGACCAATGTTCAAATGTAAACCAAAAAAGGAGAACACTGAATTGTTGCAGGGCTCTGCCCTTGAGCCTCTTCTACTCATTTCTATTAACAACTTGGATGAAGAAGACATAAGAAGAATGCTTATTAAATTGTCAGTTGGGAAAGATAGCAAATGTATTGGTAAAACAGAATCAAGTTTCGAAAATGGGCCATCCCATACATCTATGATCAACTGGTCTTTGACAAGGGTACCAAGACCTTTCAGTGGGGAAAGATTTCAACAAATGATATTGGGACAGCTGGATAGCCACATGCAAGAGAATGAAGTTGGGCCCATACCACAGCATTTGAAAAAATTAACTCAAAATGGGTCAAAGACCTAAATGTAAGAGCTGACCTATACATAGGAGTAAATTGTCAGGATTCTTAGATATGACACCAAAAGCATTAGCAACAAAAGAAAAAACAGATAAATTAGACTTCATCAAAATTAACAACTTTCGTGCTTCAAATGACATCATCAAGAAAGTAAAAACACGATCGGCAGAATGGGAGAAAATATTTAAAACCATGTATCTCATAGGCACTTGTATATGAATATATAAAGAACTCAAAACTCAGTAATAAAAAGGCAACCCAATTAATAAATGGGCAAAAGATCTGAATAGCCATTCCTCCAAAGAAGATATGCAAATAACCAATAAGCACATGAACAAATGCTCCACATTGGGGGGAAAATACAGATCAAAACCACAGTGAGATAAAATTAAATACCCACAGGATGGCTAGAATCAAAAAGTCAGATAATAACAATTGTTGTTGAGGATGTGGAGAAATTAGAACCCTCATACGCTGCTGGTGAGAATGTGATGGTGCACCCACTTTGGAAAAACTGTCAGTTCCTCAAATGATTAAATATAGAGTTACTATATGACCAAGTAATTTCATTCCTAGGTATACATACCCATGAGAAATGAAAACTTATCTCTACACACAAACTTGAACAGGAATGCTCATAGCAGCATTATTCATAATAGCCAAAAAGCGAAAACAACCCAAATATCCATCAGTAGATGAATGGATAAACAAAATGTGGTATATCCATACAATGGAATATTATTCACCTATAAAAAGGAATGCCATACTGATCATGGATGACACTTGAAGAAGATGCGAAGTGAAATAAACCAGACACTAAGCCACATATGAATCTGTTCATATGACTGTCAACAATAAGGAAATCTATAAAGGTGGAAAGTAGATTAGTGATTGCTTAGGACTGAAATGGAAGGTCGGGCGGGGTACAGGAGGCGAGAGCTAAAGGATATACGGTTTCTTTCTGAGGTGATGAAAATGTTTTAAAATCGACTGTGGTGATAGTTGGACATATCTGTGAAACCATTGAATTGAACATTCTAAATGGGTAAATTGTATGGTAGGTGAATTATATCTCAATAATTATAAAATAAAAAATGGGTCATGACTAGGCAAATACAAATAAAGTATCTGCTCTTTACCTATTAAGAATGGGATGCAGATAGGACTTTATTGTCATATGAAACTCTCTGTGATAAATTGTTGAGAGACACATCACAAAACCATAAATCAAGTAACTCATTTTGTTTAAAAAGTATTTTTTTATAAGATGAATTTTATTTTAAAATGTTTTTCTTTTCAATTATTTGCTTTTCTAATTTCTCTACCATGGATATTTATTACTTGTTTAATAAAAGTCTTTTCCCCCAGATGGGAATGATGTGAAGCCCACACTGAAAGTTTCTGTTTAATAACCGACTGTGTGTTGTAGACGCTAGACTTAACAGCCTTAGGCTGCGTTAATCAAAATCCCCAAATAAAGGTCACCTCTGGATTGTATTCAGTTTGGGTCAAGAATTTTAAACTGGAAAACACTCAGGGGAGGTTATCACAATGGGTAAAGCTACCAAAACAAATATACAAAAATGCTTCAAGGAACTGAGGATATTATCGCTTAGGGAAAAAGACAAATAAAAACTGTCTTAATATGATGAGGGCTTGTTTTATTGAAGCAGAATTAGATTTATTCTGTGTAGCTTCATGGGTAGAACCAGGGCCAATAGGTAAAGATAAATAATGAGATTTGGGCTTACCCTAGGAAATAGCTTTTCAAATTATATAAGGTGCTCCCCATTACTTGGACAGTGTCATGAATCTGTCAAATGATTGGGTGGGAGGTCAGTTTAAGTTCCTGTCCCTCTCTTCAGATTAAAATTCAGTTGACATTTGTAATCCTGTTACTTCAACTGAAATAATCAATTAGGGATGAGTTGGGGGAGGGATAGCATGCAGTTTAAAATTCAAGCAAAGGAACCTTCTATCTCTTTTCTGTAATTTCTTTGATATTTTTAGTCATTATAATTAATTCTTTTTTGTATTGTGGTAATAATATACATAACATAAAATTTACCATTTTAAGTATGCAATTCAGTGGCATTAAGTACATTCACAGTGTTGTATAACCATCACCATTATTTATTTCCAAAACGTTCTTATCATCCCAAACAAAAACTGTACCAATTAAACAGTAACTCCCTATTACTCCTCCCCATCCCCTGGAAACCTTTATTCTGTCTGTCTCAATGAATTAGCCTATTGTAGATAACTCATAACGTAGAATCATACAATATTTGTCCATTTGTGTCTGGCTTATTTCACTTAGTATAATGTTGCAAGGTCCATCTGTGTTCTAGCATGTATCAAAATTTCATCCCTTTTTATGGCTGAATAGTATTCCATTGTATACATATACCACATTTTGTTTATCCAGTCATCTGTTGATGGACATATGGGTTGTTCCCACCTTTTGGCTATTCTGAATGATGCTGCTATGAGCATTGGTGTACAAGTATCTGTCTGAGCCCTACTTTCAATTGGAATTGTTAGATCATATGGTAATTCTATGTTTAACTTTTGAGGACCCTCCAATGTGTTTTTCACAGTGGCTACCCCATGTTACATTCCCATTGGCAATGCATGAGGATTCCAGTTTCTCTACATTCTTGTCCAAACTTGCTACTTTCTGTTTTTTTGATAAGAGTCATCCTAATGGATATGAAGTGATATCTCGTGGTTTTGATTTGCGTTTCACTAATGACTAATGATGTTGAGCATCATTTCATATGCTTATTGGCCGTTTGTATGCCTTCTTTTGAGAAATGTCTAGTCAAGTCCTTTGCCCATCTTTGAATTGAGTTGTTTGGTTTTTTGAGTTATAAGAGTTCTTTATATATTCTTTATATTGATGCACAAAAGTTTTTACTTTTGCAAACTGGCTTGGGCACAGTGGTTTTTTTTTTAAGTTTTTAATTTTTATGAAGTGCAGTTTATCTATTTTTTGTTGTTGTTGCCTGTGTTTTTGGTGTCATTAAAGAAATCATTGCTGAATCTAAGGTCATAAAGATTTTCTCCTTTGTTTTCTTCTAAGATTTTTATACTTTTAGCTCTTAAGTTTGGGTCTTTGATCCCTTTTGAGTTAATTTTTGTATATGATGTGAGGTAAGGATCCAAATTCTTTCTTTTGCATATGGATATCCAGTTTTCCCAGCACTATTTGTTGAAAAGATTCTCCTTACCCCATTGAAGGGTCTTGACAACCTTGTCAAAAATCAATTGACTACATATGTGAGTTTATTTCTGGTCTCTGTGTTCTATTCTATTGGTTTATATGTTTGTCCTTATGCCAGTACCCCACTATTTTGATTGCTATAGCTTTGTAGTAAGTTTTGAAATCAGGCAGTGTGTGTCCTAAAACTTTGTTCTTCTTTTTCAAGATGATCTTGGCTATTTGGGGTCCTTTGAGATACCATGTAAATTTTAGGATGGGTTTTCCTGTTTCTGCAAGAATGCTGTTGGGATCTTGATAGGGATTGCACTGAATCTGTAGACAGAGCACTTTGGGTGGTATTGACATCTTAAGAATATCGTCTTCCACTATGTGAACACAGGATGTCTTTCCATTTATTTGTGTCTTTAATTTCTTTCAGCAATGTTCTGTAGTTATGATTAACTTCTTTTTAAATCTTTTTTATTTGTTCTCCCTTCTTAAGCTATTAGTAAATAGCTGCCATTTGTTGACATACCAGAAGCCAGTCTGGTATGCAGTTTAAACTGGTGTGCAGTTTAACCCATAAACCACATACTTGCACATTTGTAAACTTTGATTCAAACTTCCTTTCTTGACCCAGGGTTTGGATATCATTTCTTTCCTCATATTTGAGGTTCCTGGCTCCTTTCCAGGGCCCCATATAACTTAACTGGTTTGATAGTTTTGGTTTCTTCTTTCAAAGAACAAAGAAGGACCATAAATTGTTGGTAAATATAATAATCACAACAAATGTACTTCAGTTCTATATAAGAGCCACTGTTTTCCTTGGCATCTTACTTTAGACCTGCTTCATGTCAAATGCCCTGTCATTTTCTCATAGCTAAGGTGATTATATGTTCCAGATTTTCTAATCTAGGTTTCAGTCTATCTTAATTATCCCATTGTTTTCTAGATTTTTGGTTCTTTACTCACAGTTTGCCAATCACGTTTAATTACCTGAGCTACAGGTCATGTTCAGTATCTTGGGCTGTTTGTTCTTATTCTTTGGCTATACTTTGACTTTTCTAATATTCTACTACCAGATTTAAGAATGTCGTGTCTTCTCTTTTATGGAAAGAAACCAAAAGGAAGACCTGCCAGTCACATGGTTTATATCTATACTCTGAAAAGTCATGATTATCTTTTGCCACTGAAAAGGGAATAGTTTTCCTCTGTAAAGAATGGAGAATTATTTACTGGTATTTAAGTGAGATGGTTCCTGAGCTGTTCCTTGATAGACTAATTTCACCACAGAGTAGCTTGCTTTCATAGGTCATTTATTCAGTCACAAGAACGTAACATTTTAAAATAAATAACCCACCAAAATTAGAGGTGTTTAAACAGAGTTCACGTAGTTTCATTGTATTTATATTGAGCTTCTGATTACATATTTGACTTTAAATTGTTTTGGATTTCTTTAGTTTTCCCTATCCCATTAGAATATTGATTTCGGTTCTTATCTCTATTGGATACTGGTTCATCCAGAGAGTAAAGGCTCTTCTATAGAGTAACATTTGGATTGTGCGGACTTAAAATTATTGCTCTTAAAGAGCTTTAAGTTTAGAAAAACTTATACAGCCAAATGAAATTAAGCTGATTCACCCTCTCTATACCAACCTATCTATCACTCCTAATTTCAGTACTCACATGTCTTATCCCATCCTCTTATATCAGCCACTAACTGCTTACCTTTGATTCTCCATTTAAATTGTTAATGTTAAGATACGCCATGGCCTAGTGCTTAAGTTTGATGCACTCTGCTTTGGTGGCCTGGGTTCATGGGTTCAGATCCAGGGTGTGGACTTATTACCACTCGTCAGCCATGCTGTGGTGGTGACCTACATACATAATAGAGAAAGACTGGCACAGGTGTTAACTCAGGGCTAATCTTCCTCAAGCAAAGAAAAGAGGAAGCTTGGCAATGGATCTTAGCTCAGGGCAAATCTTCCTCAGCAAAAAAAGAAAAAAAAGATACTAGTGGAATGTTAGGTTTTGGCTTTCCTATATTACATAATTTTAGTTTTTGTTTTTCTCTGTCCCCCTCCCCTCATAGATGAAAAGTTGGGAGAAAGACCCAATTAGATATGGAAAAGTGGTCAAATGCATAATAATATAGAAGATTATATAGCTGCTTATTGTGAAGGAATTTTACAAAATAAATATGTTAATTGTTCTTTATATTATTTGTAAGCCTGCAATTACATTAAATCCCCAAGGTATTAGGCCTCTGGATTTCATCATTTACCAGTTAAACCTGAAACGAGCTGATCATCAGTGATCTCAGAACAGCCTGGAATGTTCAGTCCTGGTACTAGAGTATAGCTGTATACCATCATTTACATCTATTAAGTTACCAGTGGTTCTAGGTTGAAAATTAGACCTTTAAAGAAAACGGATTTGTCTGACAATATTTTATATTTAAAGTTTATTCTATTTTATTCAACAGAAACGCACATCAAAACATTCACCCAGAAAACCAAGAGCTAGTGAGGGTGCTTCGGGAGCAGCTTCAATCAGAACAGGTAACTGTTGTCATATCAGCATCCGCATTTGTGTGAGGAGTAGATGTTATTACTCCCCTTTCCTCTGAAATTGTGATGAAATATTAATAAATTACTTTTTGGAAACATGGGCTTCTTTCCTGCTTTGCAAGTTACCTTAAATTATTCTATTGATTCTATATTTTTAGATTAGGCAAATGACTAGACTTAATCTATTCAGATGTTTTCAGGTGTTGTTTTTTTTAACATGCTTTAAAAGATAGCAGTTTTCTTATTATTGACTTGCGAGGAAATAATCACTGTCTAACTGGCTTTCTTGAAATGTGGTAGAACCATTCTTTCTAACACGTTATTCCCCTAAGACCTACAAGGCAATGATTATGAGGGGTAGCTTTTTTTTTCTTTTCTTTTTCTTCAGTGGTCAGAAGTTAACAAAACTAGTTAGGCAAAGAAGAAAACTTTTCTTCTCTGCCTCTTCTTTGCTTTTAACTAGATGGACTCTCTACAACCAGAAATGTAGTATATTTTGTGAAGGCTGGATTAAGTAGGATATTGTACACCTTCATGCCAAGATAGCAAACATCAAAAAACAAAAATTAAAAATTAATTTCCTAGCCACCAATCAAACTAATTCCAAAGATGGTTTTATAATTTAGCCATTCACTGAATATTTCTTGAACATTTGTCATATGCTAGACACTGTTGTAGATATTGGGAATTCAATCATGAACTAAACAAATAAGAATTCCTGCCTTCATAGAACTTAAATTCATTGATGCAAAAAAGTAGTTTAAGTGTCTTAGTAGTACTCTGTTCCAGAGCTGTTGTTATCAATAATTCATGCTGGGATAGTGTTTTATAATTTACAAAGTCATTTCACATACAACTATCTTGTTTAATCTTCAAACGTGATAAGTAAGGCTACTATTATTATCCCCATTTAAAATAGTAGATCACTAAGATTTGAGTAAATTCACACTAGGATTACATGAATAGAAACTAGCTATATAGGAGTCTCAGATTGAGGTGGATCTTCCAGATTTCTTTGTACCACTCTCCCATTCATCTGCCTCACACCTTCCTCAGGCATGACATATAGTTCTCATTTGAATAAAGCTAGTAACTTAGCCTATTCTGTGCTGTCCTATATGGTAGGTACTAGCCACACGTGGCTACTTAATTTTAAATTAAATAAAACTAAGTAAAATAAAAAATTCAGTACTTTAGTCACATAAGCCACATTTCAAGTACTCAATAGCCACACGTGGCTAGTGGCTACTGTATTGGACAGCACAGATAAAGATTTCCATTATTGCATAAAGTTCTCTTGGACAGCACTGGTAATTGGTTTTTTGTAAATTAATTTCCAAAAAAGAATAATGAAGAGAAAAGGTAGAGAAGGGGACATTAAGTGATGTATGTTTTTCTTTTCTGCACCATTAAAAATGACATAAAAGACTATAATATCAAGGTGTGACTTTGGCTTATAGAATATTCGAGTATTTTAGGACTGTTTTAGGACATAGGGGATTTTAGTTATGGTTTATTAATTTGGGGTGATAAAAATCTTTGATTTAGTTTGCAATTAAGAATAGCTCATACTTAGCAATTTGATACCTTTTTTTGATAATTTGATATTTTTAATGCAAGCTACTTTGTTTATAAGATGTGTGCTGGGTGCCATACAAACAAGTTTTGTGGAGCTGGCCTGGTGGCGTAGTGGTTAAGTTCGCATGCTCCACTTCGGCAGCCCAGGGCTCTCAGGTTCAGTCCCAGGCGTGGATCTACACACCTCTCGTCAAGCCATGCTGTGGTGGCATCCCATATACAAAATAGAGGAAGACTGGCACAGATGTTCGCTCAGGGCCAATCTTCCTCACCAAAAAACAGCAAAACAAACAACAGGTTTTGTTAAGTAAAAGAGAGACACATTAGGTACTAGTACTAGATAATTCTCTAGTTCCTAGAGTATTACTCAATGAGTCCTACAAATGAAGTCCTTGTCCTCATAGCACTCACATTCTAGTGGGTTCTTTGATATCTGATGCTTCTTGTACTGGTGATTCTATTCAACATTCCTGTTACAATCACAATAGTGATATAACTGAGAAACATTAAAATTTGATAATCTGACCATGTGAAGGATTAAGTTCAAGTTACCAGTAGTCTTAAATTTTTCTCCTTTCCAAATGACCAATTATTCTTCTCTCAAAGTTTAATTCTGGTCTCTTGTGAGGTGCAGCATACATGCAACACTTGTCAGGGATGTCTGAATGAAAGCGATGTTAAAAATGAAAGGCAGCTAATACTTGGGACATAGCTTGACATTTCTTATTCTTTAGCTTACGCATTAGCTCAGCCTTTTGTTACTCAGAATAACTTATTCTAATGGAGTAAAAGAGAAACTCCTGAGTTCCTCTAGGTTTTTATCTTTAAATTGTGTTCAGGAAGGAGGATAGAGACCGTGCAGTTTAAATAAAACAACAATATAGCCTCATACTTTATCAAATTTATAAGACCTCAAACTGTGGCACATCTAAAAATTGGTGAGGATTGCACAGTATTGACGGTATTCTTAAGTATAATTTAACAGAAAGATAATTTTGAAAAGCCTCTGTGTGTCATATGTGTATATATATGTACGTATTTTCTCATCAGGATGCGCCAGCTGCCACTCGACACCAGTTTTACACTGACATGTACTGTCCAATCTGCTTACATCAGGCCTCCTTCCCTGTTGAAACAAACTGTGGACATCTCTTTTGTGGTAAGCAAACAGTGCTATACTTGGTAAACGTGACGATTTAGACCATGTTTGTACACAGGCTGGATTCCTAATTTTTCTCTTTGTCACATTTGTATTTCGTGAGCAGGGTAGATGGGTTCTGATAGCCTGTTCTACTTGTCAGCCACTTTTATTTAGTGTCTGTGGGTTCAGAAATTTAAAACACTAGTTATTCAGTTTCTTGATAAACAGAAATGTGTTTCTTTGGATGGTAATTCAAGCACATCAATAATCCCTCCTTGCTCGTCACTCTTTGGTGGTTTCGTTGATTACTCCTCCTTCCCAAGGCAGGAAGCTTCTCTCAGAGAACATCCCTTAGCTCTGCTGCCTCTTTTTGACTCTGAGTCAGTACAAAAGTTCTTAGCCTCTCTTTCTTTGTGGCCCCAAGAGGTCTGATGAGGGAGAATGAGAAAACCTAGAGCATGTAGTGGGACAAGAAGGGAATGTTGTGGGGCCGGCCCTGTGGCCAAGTGGTTAAGTTCACACACTCCACTCCGGCGGCCCAGGGTTTCACCGGTTCGGATCCTGGACACGGACATGGCACCGCTCATCAAGCCATGCTGAGGCGGCATCCCACCTGCCGCAACTAGAAGGACCCACAGCTAAAAATATACAACTATGTGCTGGGGGGCTTTGGGAAGAAGAAGGAAAAATAAAATCTTTTAAAAAACAGAAGGGAATGTTGTGGTCACGCTTACTTAGTATCAGTAAGGGGTGCCTTCTACTCCTGGGCATTTTTTCCTGACCCTCTGGAAAGAGTTTGTGGAGAATAATGAGATACCATATAGTCATTGCTTGTTACGGTCATACAAGATTGGGGAGAGTCAGTGATTACAAACCTACTATGTGCTGGACACCTAACATACTTCATCTCATCTAGCCCTACAGATGAGGAAACCAAGGCTCAGAGATGTTAAGAAGTTTTACCAAGGGTAACCCAGCTGCTAAGGGACATAGCCAGGTTTTAAACCTAGATCTAACTTCAAACCATATGCTCAATTCGACGATGTGATTGGTGGCTTATACAACTACTCTCTACTTAAGATTTAGCCAGTCACGAAAAATACTTTTTTATTGGTAGTATTTCTTCTGTTTGAATAGCTGTATTCAAGATAGGGTTCTAACTGCTCCCCAAATGTACCCAATTTCCATATAAAGACTAATTTAAACTATAGAACAGAATGATCCTATAAATTGCTTTCTCCTCTGTATCTTTTGTCTAAGATTCACTATATAGAATTCTTAAGTATGTAATGTTATTATTTATGCTGTTGGGGATGATGTAAGTATTTGAAATCCATACCATGCAATGCAGGGTTTCCTATACCTTGTGCTCATTTAATAGGTACTGACAAATCCCATTATTACCTCATCCATTAATTTCAACCTCTTCCCTAAGGTTTTTGCCTAAGTAGCTAACAAATTATAAAACGCTATTTTAGTGTCTGTCTTTAATTATCTGCTAGAAATGTTAATGAGCAGCAAAAATAATGAAGATGAGACTGGGAAAATTAAACGGCTATCAGAGAAAGCAGACATGTTTCCTCCTCTCTGGTAGATACTCCTCATCACTTTGATGCTCTATTTCTGAGTCTGGATGTGGCCTCAACCATCGTCATGCAGCACTGCAGGCAGGTGTTAGGAATCAGTGAGGCCTGGCAGGCAAGATGAACTCTGTTTGCCAATCGAGGGTTAGGTAATTCACTGAGTGGATAACCCGGTCAGATGAAAGATGGCTGGACTGTGTTCTTGCTTTTACCTCTGGGTCTGAGGTAATAGGGTAGATTGCTTCTGATATCCTGCTCTACTTGGTAGACACTTTGATTTACTGTCTGTAGGTTCACAGGTTAAAAAACACTATTCAGCTTCTCAAACAGAAATGTGCTTCTTTGAATAGTAGCTCAAGTCCATTGATGCCACGTGCATCAGGAGTACTTTAGCGTTGTTTCTGTACGGGGAACTACCGCTCCGCTCCTTTACGGTGAGTTAAGAATAGCAGCAACAGATTTCACCTTACTTGCATTCGTAACTCACCTTATGTTATTTGATTCTCCAGCAGTCGTATGAGGTCTTATTCCCATTTTACAAATACACAGATTTAGAGAGATTGTGCCCCAGATTAAAGTCATTGAGTCATCTTTCCCAGCATCTTATTTAGGTGGATCTGTCTTTTTAAAGAAAAGGGGAAAGCGTGTCATTGCAGATGTGTGTGAGCTGAAGTGTCCCATTTGCTGGACCATAGCTTTTCAGTGCAGGCAAGCGTCCCTTACGTGACTTGCAAAACAAGGACATTTATACCCTAATTTGTAGAGAAGAGATGTGAGATTGAAACACTTAATATATGTCAAAACACACTGAACTTTTGGGTGAGAAGCTAAATCTAAGGTATCATTACAGATGTAATAATACTACTATCAGATACAAATTTTGCTTTCATATAGTTTCTATGTGAAATTAGATTGCTCAAAGTACTTAAAAAATATTATCCAGGGGCTGGCCCTGTGGCCGAGTGGTTAAGTTCGTGCGCTCCGCTGCAGGCGGCCCAGTGTTTCGTTGGTTTGAATCCTGGGCGCGGACATGGCACTGCTCATCAAACCACGCTGAGGCAGCGTCCCACATGCCACAAGTGGAAGGACCCACAACGAAGAATATACAACTATGTACCGGGGGGCTTTGGGGAGAAAAAGGAAAAAAATAAAATCTTTAAAAAAAAAAATATCTAATTAACAGAGCCCTCTGAAAGGAGGAGAAGAGATCAAATAGGGATTGTTTGGCTTTTACACTGTCAAGCCGGTTTCTCCCCACAGTCACTGTGGGGTCCTGTTTGGACGGCCTGTGCTCAGCCTCGGGTTTGCTCACCGGCCTCCACACACCATTTATTTCTGCCTTGGTGTTGCTCTTGCTATTCATAAACCCTGGAGCGTCCTCCCTCCTGTTTTCTGCCTAAGTCTTACTTCTACAAAGTTCAGTTCAGATCCTTTCTCCTCTACAGGTTACTCTAATGCATCCCAGAGAATCCTCCCTCTCTGCACTCCTTTTGTACTTACTTAGTATTACACAGTTCAAGATTTAATACCTTCTGATTGATTTAAGTATGTCACCTGGGTCTCTTCAATTTGATTGTCATTGCTTCTTCTGAATTCAGGACATTTATTTGATCTGGAAGAATCAGCATAGGGAACACAGGAGGGCTAAGCTAGGTTGCTCAGGCAAGAGTAACACTAGAGAGAAGACCCTGGGGGTAGAAGGGAGACAGAAGCACTTGGTTCAGATTCACACTGGGACCTGGATGGCCCCAGAAACAGGTGTCCTGCAGAGAAGAAAACGAATTGGCCCCTTAAACATCACACAGTATTTAAAAATTCATTTGTTCCTGGTCTGAACTCTTGCTCACCTGCCACTTTTCAAGGTCTGCAAACTCTTCCTTTAGGTTGCTTTTAGCTGTTTTGCTGCTCATGAACACCTTCAAGCAGAAGAGTCAAATCCATCCAGTCTAACGTTGATTCCATTATTGAAGTGGATTATGAACTTCATCAGGGCAGAGAGCATTACTCTTTGTATCCTTTGGTTCCTTGCTTGTACTACTTCATTACTATTATTCATACTTAAGTAACTTGGCTTTCTAAACTCTTAGAAAAGTAGTTCTATTTTTGTAACATATATACCAAATTTGGAACAGAAAACCTATGCTGTGATTTGTTGGTTGTCATATTTACAATGATGTTTAATTAGTGTTTTATTTATTTTACATAGGAAATGCAGTATTTTCTATTAAGCCTCATAGCATTTGAAGGAGTTGATGCATGCTTGCTTTTGATTGTGTAAAAATGTCTGTATCTTAGCTGGTAGTTTAAATAAAAATATTTTTCAGTGGCTGGGAGTTGTTTTTAGATTTGAATTTGAAGGGTTGGATGAAGTAAAAAATATTTTAAAATAAGGTGGTACTGTTAAAATATTTCACATATTTGAAAGTTTCTCAGGATACATGGACTTTAAAACATCCCTACTGATGGGGTTTTTTTCCCATTAGGTACCTGCATTATTGCGTACTGGCGATATGGTTCATGGCTGGGGGCAATCAGTTGTCCAATCTGTAGACAAACGGTAATGTTTGTATCCAGAAAGCATCATTTATGCCAGTTCATTTTGTAAATTTTTATACTTTTGTGTCTAACTTTTCATTTATTTTGATATTTTCACTAGAACTTCATTTATCCAAAGCTTCTATGATGTTACCCCGGTATTTTTTTTAAATGTCTTTAAGACGTCTCAAAACAAGAGAATTCCCTTTGAAATCCTTCAGTTGTAGTGAAAAGCAACTGGTGAATGATTCCTCGCCCAAATCCTAATAGGTGTTGTAATACCAGCAAAGGGATCACTGAACTTGATCACGAGTAAGCAAATATCCCCTCCCTATACTGCTCTGGAAAAAAATTGTTTTTCCTTTTTAATTTATTTTTAATCTGCCCTTCTCCAGTGAGGGTTCAGATAGCTTTAAATGATGAAGAATAATTTTTTTAAATGTCCCTTTTGGAGGCATAACCACATTGCATTATCCAGGACAGATAGAACGTTATAGTTAGCGTGGAAGCTACCTCAGGAGGGAGGCAGTAAGTTTTTATAAACATATATTGAAGACTGAAATGTCAGCACAGATGAGATATGCCAAATTTTCTCAATTTTTTTTGACAAACTAGAAAAAATACTGAAAAATCTGAGAAACTAAAGTTCTTAGTTTTTTAATTAGTAAATATAGCAAAATAGAACATTCTATCAGTTGTATACAGTTTTTCATAATTTCTTTTATACTTATTTTATTTTTCATTTAAAAATATATACCTTTCTGATAACAAGTTATGAACTTGTAAAAAGACAGCATTTCCTTGGGAAGTCTTCCAGTGTGCACAGTGAAGTCCTACAAAGGATAGAGAGCTTCCAGGTAAAGACGTCAAGTTGAACGCATATATTTACTTTTGCTTCCTCTTGCAACCCCACTGAAACAACAGAAAGGACACTTTGTGAAGGCATAAACCCACAGAGACCAACAAATAAAGTAAATGATAGAAGAGGCGATCATTTTTCAAAAATTCTTTGTTAACTATAACAGACATACAGAAAAGCACACAAAACAGAGAAGTACAGCTCACTGAATTATCACAAAGCAGCACTCGAGCATCAACGCTGAGATGAGGAAACAAGCTGGCCAGCAGTCCCAGAAGCCTCCTAGGGCCCCTCCGAAACCTCCACCCTCTCCCTCTCAACCACTGTCTGACTTGTATGATGAGCATTCCCTTGATTTCCTATAGTTTTATGACCTTAGCTAGGTCTAAGATTGTTTAGTTTTGCCTGATTTTTGGAATTTATCTAGATAAAACCATATAGGAGGTATTGTTAAATATATATACACATACATGCACATACACACACTCGTATATATACCTTTCAGCCTTTGTTCTGGCTATCCACTTTGCCCCCATCACTGCCCTTTTTTTTGGTGTAGAGAGAGAAGTTCAGGTTTTTCTCTTCTTTCTTGCTTCTAGATTCCCAACTTCTACCTCTTTCACATTTGACTTTTTATCACATGGTCAGGAGGAAAATTGATTTTTTTTTTGGTACTGCTTCACCGCTGATTTGATGTGTGACACTAGGCAGTCAACACTGAAGCTTTTTTGCCAATACCACCTCTCATCATCTTAAGGTATCCGCCAGCAACACTGAGACCAGGCCATAGGTCCTTCATTAAAGAATTAGTTCTGCCACCTCACTCTTCTTGGCTCTACTGAGGCTTTTCGTAGGGCAGATATATGCATTAGCAGATGGTATCCTTTGGACCACCCATAAATTGGCTAGAGCTAGAAAGGTGAAGATATGATTGTGTTAATATAATAACTTTTGGTTCCTTAACTGTAGAGTAATTCATCCTGGAGGCAAGACAAGTGGCAAGTGCTCCACCTCCTGTTTCACTGGAAATAGTAATGCACAGGCTGCTGCCTCTGACTGGAGCATGCTCACTACTTCTCTCCTGAATGCACATACTCACACACCAGCATTTCAAGGGCTGGTGCATTTCAAGCGCTAGCGTAAGTTTCAAGCTTTCTGGACACCCCAGGCAGAAGTCCTCACTCTCAGACATCATTAGAGTCATGAGCCACACAACAATGTTCAGTCAATGACGGACTGCATACAGGTCCCATGAGATTAGTACCATGTGGCCTAGGTATGTAGTAGGCTAGACGATCTAGGTTTGTTAAGTACACTCTGTGATGTTCACACAACGAAATTGCCATTCTGCATTGGATTTTATTGTAAGGCAATAATAATTTATTCCCCCACCATGTTTCCTTTACTAAAAAGAAATGAGTGAAATGTAAATTCAGAAGCTTTTCTCATTCTATTGAATAATAATACAAAATGAAAAGAAGTAATGCAGAAAGTTGTAACAATTTTTTTCTGTGATATACAGGTAACCTTACTGCTAACAGTCTTTAGTGAAAATGACCAGTCTCAGGATGTCACACCATTGCGTCAAGATATTAATGATTATAACCGGAGATTCTCAGGGCAGCCCAGATCTGTAAGTAATGTTATAACAGGTGCAAAGTTAGAGGAGAATGATACTTCTCTTTTGTAAAGTGAGATTTACCAACAAATATTCTTTGACTATGAAAAATCTCTCAGTTATGTGTGTTGGGTAAAGTTTTTACCGTCATCATTGTTGTCATTCACTGAGTCACAGCTTTCCCAAGGACTACAGTTTTCTATCTAAAAAAAAAAAACAGACATTACCAAACTCTTTATGAGATACTAGCAAAAAAGCAATAGGAAAAACTGGAGGGAAATGTAAAATTATCAACTCCTATGTAATTCTAAAATAAATAGGGTTTGTCTTATGAGAAAACTTAAACTGAGAACTCCTGGAGAGTTTTACAATGGTGTTCCACTCTGTTTTATTTACCCCGGCCACCTGTTTGAAATGTTTCCTTAAGGTTTTAGAGGGGTTTTTTTAATGTCATCTTAGCTATTCAAAAGCATTCTATTTTTAAAGAACACATTAATTCTACAGTTGACCTCCCCCGAAAAAGGCATTTGGTAGATTAAAAACTGTCACATTTTACTGACTCATTCCAGTTTTCTGAAAATCAAACAAAGAATTCTAGTAGTGTGTGTATGACTGAATATGCACTTCAAAACCCAGAACATACTAAGTACAAATGTATGTGGAAAGCCTAGACTTCTCCTCCGAGCTCTTGACTTTGGCTATCCAGCTGCTTAGCCTTCATCTCCACTTGGATGTTCAATAGGCATCTCAAACTTGACATGCATAATATCGAACTGATTCCCTCCTTAACTCAGTTCAGTCTCTTCTCAGCCTTTCTCAGCTCAGTTTTAACTTCCTCCTCTCCCTCATTTGATCTATAGATAAGTTGTATCATTTCTTTTCTCTTTTTTGTGGATCCTGTCATTCTTACCTCATAAAAGCATCCTGTGTCTGTAGCCATCATGCTGGTTCAAGCCACCACCATCTCTTGCTTGGGACAGCTGCAGTGGCCTCTTCACTTTGACTTTTGTAAGATCAGCCCTGAGCTAACATCTGTTGCCAATCTTTTCTTTTCTTCTCTCCAAAGCCCCCCGGTACATAGTTGTATATTCTAGTTGTAGGCCCTTCTAGTTCTGCAATGTGGGACACCGCCTCAGCATAGCCTGATGAGTGGGGCTAGGTCCACACCCAGGATCTGAACAGGTAAAACCCTGGGGCACCGAAGCAGAGCACACGAACTTAACCACTTGGCCACAGGGCCAGCCCCTCACTTTGACATTTTTCTCTGCACAGCAGCCCAAGTAACTTTTTTTTTTTGAGGAAGATTAGCCCTGAGCTAACATCTGCTGCCAATCCTCCTCTTTTTGCTAAGGAAGACTGGCCCTGAGCTAACATCCATGCCCATCTTCCTCTACTTTATATGTTAGGACACCTACCACAGCATGGCTTGCCAAGCGGTGCCATGTCCGCACCCGGGATCCAAACTGGCGAACCCCAAGCCACCAAAATGGAACATGCAAACTTAACTGCTGCACCACTGGGCCAGCCCCCCAAGTAATATTTTGAAAACATAAGTAAGACCGTGAAGCTCTTGTGTTTTAAAACTTCCATTTTGGAATAATGTTCCAACTCCCTACTTGTGGCTTACAAGGCCCTGCATGACCCAAGACCTCCCTCGGTCTCTACACCTTGGGCCACTCTCCCCGGCACCCACCATACTTCAGCTACACTGGCCTCCTTTCAGCTCTCAGAAGACACTCGCAGTCTTTCCACCTTAATGCGTTCACACATGCCATTTCCTCTGTTTGCAATGCTTGTCCCTCTGCTCTTCTGACTTTTCATCCTTTAGGTCCTTCTTAAACAGACCTTCCACAGAGAGGCTTTCCCTGATCAACTGAGGTATTCTCTAGTATTGCCCTCTGTACACTTCCTTCATAGCTTTTTCACAAACAGTACTCAGGTCTTGTTCATTGTCTTTCTCTCAGTAGTCTAGAAGCTTCATGAGGGCAAGGACTGGGTTTATTTACTCATTACTATATTCTTATTCCCAAATTCAGTGCTTGGGATACAGTAGGCCCTTAATGTTTACTGAATAAATTAATGAGTTAGCCTTAAGATAAAAATTGATACTACTACTTCCAGCCGAGAGTAGAAGCTATTAAAACGCTCAGCATTAACCCGTGTGCCTCCTCGCACATATTCCTTTTTCTGTGATGTCATGGACATCACAGGCATGCAGTTTCACCTGTTGTGGATAATAATGGGTAAATCTTTTAGATGTTTAAGCAACAACAAAAACTTAATCCAATCACTATTGTCCTCCATAGTTATTTGGAAGCCTCTTCTGCTATTTTTCACGCAGCAGTTTTTTACATATCTTCCAGTGACATCTATAGGATGATTCTCTGAAAGTCAACATGTTTCAAATTCAAGAACTAGCACTGAACTTAAAAAACATCATTTTAGGATATTTATTCATATTTTTAATGTGAAGCATACCATTGCTCAATTACTATTGTTTTGTAGGTGTCAGATATTTAATGAGTAGGAAAGTCTAGTATGTGATGAAATTACAATATAATGAAGACATTTAGCTCCTACTTTGGTATTCTCCCTCGTTCAAAGTTACTCAAAGGAGTATGATTGTGATTAATATACAAACATTTCTTAATAACCCATTTCATATTTCTTATCTAATTATTACAGATTTTGTATAAATGATACCATATGAGAAGTGAACAAAATAGCTCTGATAAAGGATAGAAAAGTGTTCAAAAAACATACTGGCTTGTCCTTAGAATATTTAAAGCAGTTCACCACAGACCTTGTGAAAGCTGTGTCGCTGTTTTGCTTTAAATATTAGTTTCTTCCATAAAGAATAGAAAACATAGGAAGTGATTCTAAAAAGTCCATTTTTGTTCTTTTGTGACCAATTTTCCAAAGAGTTACAAGATTTTCTTTATCTGGTGGAATTTTAAAATTGTTTTCTCATCACTTGCTCAATTCTTCCCATTTTTGTCTCCATCTCCTCAGCTTATTTGGCACTTGTTAAACAAATAAAATACATACCTACAATTGGAGTTATAATATTTATATAGATGGCTAAAAATAGCTGAACTGTGGGCAGTGGAATGACCACAGGAAGTGACTGACTTCCTCTGGTCAGTTTCCCTGGTGTGGACCAACCCCTGAGAAATGAGGTTAATAGAAGCAGCTGTGTTGAGAGTCACAGTAGTTCATTACTGCATGGGACCTTGGACCTGGTTGTCAGCAACTACAGAACAAAGGAGCACTTTGCAGTCGGAGAACAAACTGACTTGCTCAAGGTCATACAAATAGATATTCGTACTTTCTTTTTTTTTCAACATCTTTATTTAGACATAATTTACATGCAATAAAGTGCACCTGTTTAAAGTATACAATCCAATGGTTTTTAGTAAATTTAGAGTAGATATAATCTACTTATCACCATAATCTTAATTTTAGAATATTTTCATCATCCCAAAAGCTTTAGCAGTTCCTTCCCATTCTCCTCTCTCCCCAGTCCTTGGCAACCACTAGTGTAGTTTCTGTCTCTTATAGATTTGGCTATTCTGGATATTTCATCGTTTCATTTAAATGGGACCATATAATATATAGCCTTTTGTCTCTGGCTTATTTCACTTAGCATAATGTTTTCAAAGTTCATGTTGCAACACATCTCAGTACATCATTGCTTTTTATGGCCAAATAATATGTCACATTTTGTTTATCTCTTCACAGTTGATGGACATTTGAATTATTTCCATTTTTTGGCTATTATGAATAATGCTGCCATTAATATTCATGTAGCAGTTTTTGTGTGGACATGTGTTTTTATTCCTCTTGGGTGTAAGCCTTGTGGAATTGCTGGGTATTTTGATAACTCTATGTTTAACATTTTGAGGAAGTGCCAAAATGTTTCATGTTTCCAAAGGGGCCGTTCATTCCCACCAACAGTGTATAAGCGCTCCAATTTCTCCACATCCTTCAATTGCTAAAAATTTATGTAATTTGTCAAATTTCAGCTGTGAAAATTAGGCTCATTTATGTAAAAACCTAGTGATTGATGTGTTTCTGTACATATTCAGAAACAATTATTTTCAGAAAAGTAGGGCCTGGCATTCCAAAAATTTTTGCAGCAATTAGTAATTCACTTAAACTAAACAGCATAAACGTCCTACGAAGGAATCAGTTTCATTGCTATTCTTAGACTGTCAAAGCCATCAAAGTTGATGTGTTTAATATATACTACGTATATATTGTCTGGGAATTTATAAAGGTCTTTTATATACAATATCTCTTTTAGTTCTTAATAGTCCTTGTGGCAGATAAATAAGCAATTAGTTGTTGACTTATCTCTAGTAGGTTAAACAACTTTTCCCAAGGTCACTTCGCTAATAAGTGATTGACTTTGAATTCAAACCCACGTCTGACTTTAAAGCTGAGACTTAAGCTCAAGCCTCAGACTCTATCCTACTCATTATTCCTTCATTTGGTTTATTTTACTATCTCAAATTAGAGAGAACTTGAGTTCTGCATTACGATAGCCTATATTTTGAGTTTGTTGACATTTTAATTGCTTTTCAGTTAGCTGCAATGACCTATTTTATAAGAACCTAGTAATCAAAAGACTGTTTTTAGATAACATGCGTAACTATAAAATAGTGTTCAATCAATATGTGAAACTCCTTAATTCATGTTAACTGAGTTTGCACGTTGCAAGAAAATTATATCATTTTGAAGTCTGCCACATTAGATGTCAAATTGTAATATTTGTTCTTCCCCCTACCAGATCATGGAAAGAATTATGGACCTACCCACTTTACTGCGGCATGCTTTCAGGGAAATGTTTTCAGTCGGGGGCCTTTTCTGGATGTTCCGTATCAGGATAATACTTTGTTTAATGGGGGCTTTTTTCTATCTTATATCACCTCTAGACTTTGTACCTGAAGCCTTGTTTGGGATTCTAGGCTTTCTAGATGATTTCTTTGTCATCTTTTTGTTGCTTATCTACATCTCTATTATGTACCGAGAAGTGATAACACAGAGACTGAACAGATGAAAATCAATGTTTACTGAAGTATTAGAGCTAATGTGTAAAATCAGACAGAAGGACCCATGGCAGTGTAAAGCATCTGAAAATTATCTTACAAGCTTAAAACCACCGTATGACAACAAACATTTGATTATCATTTGGCAAATGCCTAGCCATATAGGACTGGAATTTTTACATGTTGCAGATTCTAATATTAAGGTTAGAATTATAATAATTTACAGTTGTATCTTGATCGTGTGTTGTCTTTGGACAACACTTTGTCTCTGGAAAAAATATGGAATTACATAAAAAGGGATGCTTTTCAATCTTTCTCTTTTCCCCCAAATTACTCATTAATTGGCTGTATAGTAAGATACTGTTAACAGTATAGTTTACCCAATTTGTCCTTCTCAGTGAGTACCTATGCGATAATCTATTGCTATAAGACTCATCTAAATATTTTTGTTACAATAAAATATTGTACAATATTGGGGAAAAGTCATTTTTTTAGTACTAGCTAAGTTTTGTGCATTTGGAGCAGTTCTGCTTTTCCATTCTGATATAAAGTTCTCCATTATCAGCTGAAAGTGAAAGAAGAAACTTGAACTTTATAATTTGATTTCTATTCTGGTTTAGAAAACACTTCTTAATAGAAAAAGTGACAAGATGTAAGATATTAATCTCTGGTCAGCACACTTGATGGTCTTAGTTATGACAGTTAAACAAGAGTTTGGTCCTTTTATAGGAATAGTATATAAAAGTAACTTATAAAAGGGAATTTTTTTCAGGAACCTGGATAATACTGCAACACGTAGTAGTTTGATGCATTTCTGAGGAAAGTGGATCTTCATGACTTTGAGCATCAAAGACTTAGGAGGATATTAGGAACACTATTTAAATTTGACAAGAGAAATTACTGGTGAGCTATAGCAACAGAATGGACAAATGTGGTTAGTTTTCTCTTGTCAGAAAACTTTTGTAATCCTGTCCCCAAATGGGAGCATATAGCCCAGATACATCCATCTCATGCAGAATGAGCCAGTGCCGTCTGAGGTGATTCAGGAGGAAAGTTCTGTTGGTTCTTTGATGGCTACAGCATTAAGTATCTAACGCTCTCTGCTGCAGTTTTCTGTTTGATAAGAATTAAAACCACGAGTATTATGAAATCCTGACTCTCACTGGCACTGCTCATTAGTGAACTGGACCGAGTCACTGATGCCCAAGGCTCGTGTTAGCTCTGTCACCTGTAATCACTGATGGTCACACTGTTATTCATGTATTAGTGAGCTTCACTATAAATACATAGGGAGAAAAAGAAGAAATTGGTCACATTCTCCCAAGTTAATCAGATTAGCCATCAACTAACAAGATGCCAAATGAAATATCAGTAGTGTTTTCTCATTTTGGGCCTAGGACAAAGCTGTTGCTTGTCATAGAGAAAAACAATAATGCTTAAATATAGCACACTATAATTAAAGCGATTTCTCACATACTTTTCATTTTGTCCTTAAGAATTATGTGAAGAAGGCAGGGCATTGCCTTCCTTTTCATAGGTGGAATCTCTATGTTAAAGACGAAAGCTTTTTTGCCTGAAGCCGCACACAAATAAGTGACTGAACTGGTGTTAGACGCTTCCTAGGCCTCCTGTGTGGGTTCAGAGAAGCGAAGACTGGTATGAAGAGGGGACGCAGGGGAGAAACTGGGACCTTTCAAAGTCTTCTGGAACACAGTGGATTAGGATAGCTTGGGTGCTCCTCAAAGGAAAGGTCTAGAAAGATGGTATATCGAGATTTCCTGAATCCTAATTCTACACTTCCAAATCAAACATCTAATAGGGTGGCATACTTCATAGAAAACATGTCAGCTGTAGTCACCAACCTGACAAGCTGATGAGTAGGAGTTTGTTACACCACCATTTACCAGACTAGAAACACATTTCCTACCAATTACAGATTTGGTGTGGGCTGCAGCGGTGTCGTTTTGAAAGGATTTAATTTTCTGTGCATGTGTTCTGCTCTGCTTCTAGTTACAATAATTTTATTGTAATATTTAGAATTCCTAAGACTTTCCTGGTAGAAGTGTATTGTACCAAATTTTGTAACATAAAAAACTGTGTGATCTGAAGTCTTATTAAATTGAAAAGGGAACATGCTGACATCTCAGAATTTTAGATCTGTCTGCTTATTATGTCATCTTTATTGATCACCAATAATAAATGTAGATGGGATCTGAAAGAATATTTAAAGCAAGTAGAGTCAATCAGTGTTTTAAACATTATAGTAATCCTTCTAGGACTCAGAGTTAAACCATACAAATCAAAGCAACAATTTGTATTTTTGTAAACAGCAAGATTGTAACTTTCACAAAAACAGATGGTCTAACCCCAGGAGCAGATGATAACTTGGGCAGCTCTGTGGGGAACAGGATGGAGGAAACACTTGTTCTAACTGCCGCCTGGAACAGCGGTTTCAGTACTGCAGCTCTCAGCCTTTGAGAGCAAGGGAAGAAAGGACTGTGCTGGTGCCTGTGGCTGTGCAGGCACCTACCTCCCAGAGTTGTTGCAGTGGATCGACGGTTTGGTTTGGTTCAAACCTTGTGATTTAAGTTTGTCAAGCAGCTATTCTTTTGAATAAAAGCAACATATCTAAAATGGAAATATAGGTGTTACTTGCCTGTTTCTTTGCTGTTGTTTGTTTAATATTCAGAACTCCAGAAACAGCATCCAGTATAATGGTTGCAGGGGCTTTCTTTTTCACTAATGGACATCCAATATCTCATCATATTTCTAATTAATTTTGCTCAGATATTTTTAAATTTAAAAAGTAGAAGTGTTTTCCTTTTGAGGAAAATTACTTCATCTGGGCAGTCTGTATTAACTCTGGACAGTAGGGTGGGATTGGAATTAGAGTAGGCCTGTTCCTTGATTCCCCACTCCTGTTTCTTTTGAGTGTACATTTGATAACTGAAATTATGAAACTGATAACTGGAATGTTCTTTGCTGAGTCTGTGCCCTATGTTTACACCGACTCTCTCCCCTCCTCCTCTCTGCTCTTTGAAACACTAAATGTACCCTAGGCTCTTCTGTTGTGCTAAACAGCAACCCAAAACCTGGGTTCCAGCTGGGTTGGAATTGGAAAGGGCACTGAAGGTTTTAAGGCCCTGAGACTTCAGAGTCTCCCCGGACTAGGCCAGTAGGTCAAGGGCTGCTGACAGGAGGCGATGCTACCACAGAGATAAAGACAGCCACTGAGCTTTTGCTGTTCTGTCAGAACCAGACCCTCTTCATGGCATCAGTATTTGTTTTAAGCATCGAGTCCTTGAGTGCAAGCACATTTGAGGCGTTGCCAGTCACTCTTCTTCATCCATGTGCATCCTCTGACCTGTTCCATGTGCCCGAAGGGTACCTGAGAGGAGTGACCCCCTGTTAGGGACACTGAGCATGTCTGGACACTGTCCTTATCCTCTCTCAGACTAGCGGTGTATGGCTCTGAGCCTTTTGAGGGGAATCTATCATGTGATGTAGGAGAGGGCTGAGGGCTAAGGGCTAAAGATGTTTAAAACTCACTGATACCTAACAGTTTATATTCTGTTTAAAAACATAAATTTTTAAATTGTCTTTTTGCCAAGGAAGATTTGCCCTGAGCTAACATCCACCACCAGTCTTCCTCTTTTTGTATGTGAGCTGCTGCCACAGCATGGCCACTAACAGACAAGTGGTGTAGGTCTGCACCCAGGAACCGAAACTAGGCTGCCAAAGTGGAGTGCACCAATCTTAAACACTAGGCCACCAGGGCTGGCCCTAAAAACATGTTTTTTAAAAAACTACTTAAAGATACCTGATGTTCAGATCAAAACACTAACCCTTCTAATTATAGAGAAAACCTATAATTTATATCTACTATATCTAATGAAAATTACTCTAGGGGGCCAGCCTGGTGGCGCAGCGCTTAAGTTCACACATTCTGCTTCGGCAGCCTGGGGTTCACGGGTTCGGATCCTGGGTGCGGACATGGTACCGCTTGGCAAGCCATGTTGTGGTAGGCGTCCCATGTATAAAGTAGAGGAAGATGGGCAGGGTTGTTAGCTCAGGGCCAGTCTTCCTTAGCAAAAAGAGGAGGATTGGCAGCAGATGTTAGCTCAGGGCTAATCTTCCTCAAAAAAAAAGAAAATCTTTGTTTCACTAATCCTAGAATATTAGAGCTATAAGGGATCTTAGAAATTGGCTAGTTTCTGTGTTTTTTCTGTGAAAATCAGATTAAAGCTATAGATAACTCCCCAGAAAAATGCATATATACATATGTATATGTAATCTGAACTCATTTTTCAGGGGATTCAAAGACCTGACCATTCATGGATTCCAAATTAAGAATTCTTCACTGAAATAAGCCAGATAGAGAAGGACAATCTCTGTATGACTCCACTCATATGAGGAATTTAAACATGTAGACAAAGAGAACAGATTAGTGGCTACCAGGGGAAAGGGTTGGGGGGTGAGGTGGGCACAAAGGGTGAAGGGGTGCACGACTGACAAACAATAATTGGGTTACACGACTGACAAACAGTAATGTATAACTGAAATTTCACAAGATTGTAAACTATCATCAACTCAATAAAAATTAACTTTAAAAAAAAAGAATTCTTCACTGAGTCCCACAGCCTTACTCTACAGATAAAGATAATGAGGTCCAGAGAGAATGAATGGTCAGGTAATTTTTAATAAAAACTGTTTATAGAAAAAGTGTAGTAAGACAGAAATTAAGGAGCTGGCCCTGTGGCTGAGTGGTTAAGTTCACGTGCTCTGCTTCAGTGGCCTGGGGTTTCGCTGGTTTGGACCCTGGGCACGGACATGGCACCGCTCATCAGGCCATGCTGAGGTGGCGTCTCACATAGCACAAGCAGGGGGACCTACAACTAGAAGATACAACTCTGTACTGGGGGGCTTTGGGAGAAGAAGAAGAAAAATTAAAAGGAAAAAAAAAGACTGGCAATAGATGTTAGGTGCCAATCTTAAAAATAGAAAAAAGAAATTAAAATCTAAACCGATAGATATCAGTGAATTTAAACATCTTTAACCCTTAGCTCTCTCCTCCATCAAAATAAGTGGCTGATTTTTCTTCAGTTTATCAAACAAGAAGACAAAGTTTATCCTTCTGGAATAATTGTGACAAAACTTACCCTTTTAATGTCAAGGGTTAAATTTTCTTTTTTTCCTTAAATGTGTTCTATTAGTAAATGAATTAGTTCTTGGCCTCTTAAGACTTTGAAAAACATCAGACTTTTAACTAACCTTCAGTTTATCCCTATTTATTCTCTTTCCCTTAAATGGTCACATAAAGCTAAGGCATATATTCATTTTTGATATTTATTGAAGGGGTCAAATGAGCATATATCTCATTCTGTAAGAAAAAAGGGCAATTTTGCATATCTTCTGTGGCCCTTTTTTGCTTATATACTGTCTTATTAAAGTAGAACACACGCCAAACATTTTATAAATCATAAAGGTCAGATGATGAATTATAAAGTGAACACAGCGTTTAAACATCACCTCGGTCAAGAGCTACACCACCAGCATCCCAGAAGCCCTCCTTCCTTGCCTCCTTCCTCAAAAGTAACCTCTTCTAACTTAAGTTTTACCTACATTTTTTTACTCTACAAAAAAACAGAATCATACAGTATATTTTCTTTGGTGTCTGACTTTTTCAACCTTCTGTTGTGGGTCCACAGTGCTGTGGCTTGTAGCTTCTTTATTTTGATTCCTGCATAGTATTCCATTGTATGACTGTACCACAATTTATTCATTCAATTGTTAATGGACATTTTGGGTGGTTTCCATCAACATTTAAAAGGCAGACAAACATCTTTGAAAGTAAAAATGCTTCCTTGCAGTCACCCCTTGACAAGTAAAGAACAATCATTTCAACTTTAGGAAATGTTAAGAAGACATGGGCAAAGGAAAAAGAAGAAAAACAGACAACGAGTGTAAGTTAGTTTAGAGGAAGTGAAAACTAATTTTCTATTAATCAAATAAGTTAACTGGCAGACCACACAGTGAAAATTTAGTTTGGGGGATGTTTTACCAAGAAAAATTCAACATTCAGTTCAATATATGTTTTTTAATTGTATGCAAGTCACTTACCAATAAATTTACCATTCTGAAGTAAGGAAACATTAGGATTATATTCAACAAATAATTAAAATGTATATTTCATTCCAAATTATGGATAGCCAGGAGAGAGAAAACAGAAGAAAGGGGAGTGAAGAAGAGAACTTCTTGAGGGAAATCCAACCAGGTAACAACTAAATGGATGGGTTCCATTCGAAATTGACTGATGATCATAAACCTCAAAAGGGCCCTCCGCACTGGCCAGTGACTGCGCGCTTCTTTATTAGCTTGCGTGCCCAGCCTCTGAGAACTACTTTATACTTTCTTTCTTTCCTGACATTCCCCAGTCCTACAACCCCACAGCCGGTGACCCAGGTTCCTAAACCCTCCCACCCCTCCAAGTCCTCTTTTTGTAGGGGACTTAGCTCTCTTCTTTTTCAAAGGCCATCTGCATCTCAGTAAATGGCACCACCGTCAATCTATCTAAATGCTCAAGCCAGAAACTCAGGCTCAAGCCAGAAACCCTTGATACCTGGATTCCTCTCTCTTCCTCATTCTCATCTCCATCTATCAGCAAACCCTGGTGTTTCTACCTCCCACATATATATCCACTGTCACCACTTTAGACCAAGCTACCAACATCTCTTGCTTGCCTGCAGCTGCCTCTTAATTACCTGCTCATTTGCACTGTTGCCCCTCTAATATCACACAATAACCAGAATGACCTTTTGCAAGTGTTTATTAGGTCACGTCTCTCCCCTGCTTAAAATGGTCCCGTGGCTTCCCACTGCACTTAAAACCCAAGCCACCAACTCCCCTACTTCAGCCTCCCTTCATGCCCTTCTGCCCTGGCTCCCTGGGCTCTACCACCACAGCCTCCACTCAGTTCCCAGAAAAGATGGAATCCTCTACTGCCTGTGCTGGGCATGCTTTCCCTGGCCTCCCCACCTTCATTCCTCACATTACCAGATTTTCTTCCTTCTTTGGTTCTCAGGTCAAATGTTCCCTCCTCAGCCAGACTACCTACCTGCCAAGCTAAAGCAGTGGTGACCCTTTCTTCCCTTATTCACCCTTACAGCATCCTAATGTATTGCGGCATCTTAGCACAATGTTATTTCATTTATATTTTTATTGTCTGTCTTCCCCTCACTAGAATATAAGCTCTATGAAGATAGGGACTATGTTAGTCTTGCTCACCAATATATTCCCAGACCTGGCATAATGCCACCACTATAATAGGTGGTCAATAAATAAAAGTTAATAAAGAAACGAAAGGAAAAGGAAGGGAGAAGAGACAAGGAAAGATCTCTCCTTCATTGTTACCTCCCAGGTATAAGCCATCACCTCCTCTCACCTATATTACCACGGAAGCCTTCCTACTGTCACCCACTAGTTGCCCCAAAACTCAAGGGTGGGTGTGGAAGCATTTAACTGTTTTTCCAAGTTGTTTTTCCCTTTTGTTATGTTAAGAAGACGCAATCACCACCCACCCTGAACGGACCAGGCCTCACAGGGGAGCTATGCCTGTGACCTTTGCCTCATTTTGAATGCTAAGATCTCTCCAGGAGGAGCTTAGGCCTTATTACCGTTCCCAGCAGGGTGTGTGCAGGCGTGTTTTCCAGCTGAGCCTGCGCAAGCAAATACCCACCTCTCCCTTTTGAATATTTATTACCCATCCGAAATAAACGTCCCTGCTTCCCTTTGTTCGAAGACGCCATGACTTTGGAAATGACTCCTCACGGTCTATTTGCTGCAAATACACTTTACTTTGTGAGACAACTACTCTGGTGGAGAGTCTTATTTAACTTGCCAGGAGGGAACCCACTTTGGTTTCAGTAACACTACCAGACTCCCTGCCTCTAAGTTGCCCCCTGCTATCTATACTCAACACAGCAGAGTGACCATTTTAAGACTGTCTCGCTCCTCTGCTTAAGTCTGCTCTTCATTTCACTCAGTGAAAGTCAAAATCCTTACCCAAAGCCCTCCATGACCTTGTCCCATTTCCTCTGACCTTCTCTCATATTTGTCCCCTCTGGCTCACTCTGCTCCAGCCACACCGGCCTCTTTGCTGTCGCTTGAACACTGGGACACTGAGCCTCAGGAGTTTTGCCTTAGCCATTCACTCTGCCTGCAAGCTTCTTCCCCTAGATATCCACGTAAACTCTCACCAACTCCAAATCTTTGCTCAGTAGTCACTTCCTCCATTAGGCCTATCCTGTTGTTAAGACACAAAATTCAACTGAGTAAATTAAACGTCAAATTGGCTTTATGCAAGACTCATGAATCAGGCGGCACCCCATCTAGTAAATAGAAGGGAGCTCCAGGGGCTGTACAAAATGGCTTTCACAGGCAAGAGGAGGAGAGGAAGTTTCTAATAGGTGGATTGTTTCAGGCAAGGTCACCTTCCTTTGGGGGAAGGGCCGGGGGTCTATCATGCAGATTACCTCACTAATTCCAGATTCACTGGTTAAAGGTCACACTTCTGGGGGAGGCTGAAACTGCAATGAAGTCTTGGTTTCCTGTCATGGAGGCAATGACTCTGTTTGGGGCCTGTTGTTCTTAACACTGTCCATCGCATTTAAAATCACAACCCCCTCACCCCTACATGGCACCTTTCACCTATGTTCTTGGTCTGCCACCTCCAACCCCTATTTGATTAGCTTCATGAGGGCAGAAATCAGAACACAGCAACGTTCAGTCAATAACTGTTCCATCAGTTGATGAGTAAAGGATTTCAGTGAACTCTAATGAAAATATACTTTTTCTAGTGAAAATATACTTTTTCAGTTCACAAACAGGTATCACATTCTGATTTTTATTGCACAGCAAACCACAGAGGAAATTGCCACCTCTCTCAATACCCCTGGAAACGCTAATAAACTATTATTCTGGTACTTTGGTACAGGGATATGGCTCTGAAAACATTTTATTTATTTATTTATTTTATTTTTTTGAGAAAGATTAGCCCTGAGCTAACTGCTGCCAATCCTCCTCTTTTTTTGCTGAGGAAGACTGGCCCTGAGCTAACGTCTGTGCACATCCTCCTCTACTTTATATGTGGGATGCCTGCCACAGCATGGCTTGCCAAGCAGTGCCATGTCCACACCCGGGATCCGAACCAGCGAACCCTGGGGTGCCAAGCGGAACATGCGCACTTAACCGCTGCACCACCCAGTGGGCCCCTGGGACCATTTTAGACATTCGGTTTCTAGGACTGGTTGATTTAAGCAACATTTTCTGGATACTTAATTTATGCCAGACACTGCAAGCTGCCAGGGTTACAACACTAAGACACAGTCCTTGTCCTCAACAGGATCTTGGTTCTGATGAGGAAGACAGACAAGTACTCAGACATTACAATAAGGTTCGTAATTGTATATGGAGCTCAGTGGAAGTTTTCATTGGAACAAGAGAGGTGCCTAACTTAGGGAGGCTAGGAAGAGAGGGTAAGTAAAGCTTCTTTGAAAACATAACACTCAGGGCACATTTTAAGGGTGGACAGGTCAGGGAAGGGCATTTCAGGCCAAGGGAAATAGCCTATTTAAGGAAGCCAGGACAAATTCTGCCCTCTGTACAAAGTTAAAGACAAGTGGAGGGAGATAAATAGTGAATAAGCAGACGTACCAGATCCTAAAGGGCTTTATGGCTCACCATAAGAAGTTTGGATTTTATCCAGAAGAGAGGGTAGCTTCTGAAGGATGTGAGCAAGGGAGTGTCAGTTTCTGTGGAGGACAGATTGGAAAGAGGCAACACTGGAGACCTGGACAGTTTCAGGTTGCTGCAAGAGTAAGAGACCATGCGGGCCTGATAAGAACAGACAAAGGAGATAGAAAGGGATGGATTTAAGTATTTACTCTATAAAATTAACTGGTCATCAAAGGGACGTGGAGGGTGTGCAAGAAATCTAAGATGACTCTAAGGTTTCTGGCTTAAGCAACTGAATAAATAATTCAGTTGATAACACTGAAGGCAGAACAGATTTACCTAGGAAATTCAAGATTTAGAAAATCACAGCATTTGACACAGTTCAAGCAGCAGGGTGTTTAGAGCGAGAGGAGGGCAGAGGATGGAACCCTGGGGTAACATCAACACTTAAAGGGTGGGGGGTCGGAAAAAGTGTCAGAGCTATGAAATTACTCAACAGGCCGCTCTCAGGCCGCCAGGCTCTGATCTACACACAGGAGGGGCACGCAACACGGAGGCAGAACCTCCCTCCGCTGTGAACCTCGCTGTCGCAGTTCGATTTCCGCCAAACACCTGGAGATCACCACGCAACCGTCCGACCTCAGGAGCGTCGACCTGGCGGCGGCTGCCCACAACCCACTGAGGGTCCCGGGAAGGTTCGGCGGGGGAGCGGTGGGGGGCTTTCATTGCTAAAACTCTGCACCTGGGCTCCTCGCAGAGCCTTGCGATACCCGAAGAGACAGGTGATGGGATGAAGGTTAGCGGTCTGGACAAGGAGCCCACAAAGTTCTACAAATCATACACTATCCGTGGCCGCCCCTTCAAGAATGGGCGCAATCAACCAACGACCTCAGCTTTACACCTGTGCCCCTCAGGCCAGCAGACCCAGCAGACCCAGCAGAGCGGATTGTTCTCCACCCTAAAGCGCCCCGGATAAATTAAGGCACGGAAAACACCACGGGAGTGGAACCAGGGCGTGGGCTTAGCTCCCCTCCCCTCCCCTCCTCTCCTCTCCGCTCCCAAATAATTCCTCTCTTCCTTCCGGAAGCTCGCAGGCCCTGCCCACTTCCGCAACGCTGAGCACGCCGCAAGACACGCCGGGCCTCAGCCAATGGCCTGCTTCCCAGGAAACGTTACCTCTGACCTTAGGGCTAATCAGAGACAGTAGGACGAACTCCTCGCGAGAGGTGAGTTTGAAGCAGCCTCCGCCATCTTGGAGATGGGAGACGGGCGATGGTTGTGGTCTTTCTGCTAATGCAAACAACAAAACGGGCACATTAGTCACCCCCGAGTGAGGCTATCTTCACTGTAACTGTTGACCAAAGCTACAGAAGAAGCGCGGGCGTCAAAGCCGAGCGCGGCGACACCGATAGCAGCTTCCCCCGCCTGCTGGGGAGCCAGAAGCGAAGTGACTGAGGACCGGAAGGATGGTGCAGTCCTGTTCCGCCTACGGCTGCAAGAACCGATACGATAAGGATAAGCCCGTTTCTTTCCACAAGTAAGTACCGTGCGCGCCTCGGGGGCCGCTCCAGCCGGGGCGGGGGCGCGCGGCCGGTCGGGCTCGGGGGCGGAGCCGGGCGCCGCGCGCCGCGCGCGAGACCTGGAGCCGGGGCGGGGGCGGGGGCAGGGGCGGGGCGCCTGAGCTCGGAGCCGCTCGGCGGCCCGGCTGCGCGGTCTCGGCGCGCGTCGCCGCGGCGACCGTTTCTCGTCCTCTGGGCGGCGGGTTCGGGGCCCGCGGGCGGTGCCTGGAGGCCCCGCGGGAGGCGTCGGAATTTCCCCACCGGTCAGGGAGAAGCCTGGTGGTGGTAACTTCAGAAGTAACTGAAGTGGGAACAAAGACGTTTAGACACGGAGAAGGCCCCCTTTTCGCCCTTGCCGTGGACCGGAGGCCAGCGTCGCAGTCAGGGATTGGTGTTTGGCCAGGGGGTCACGGAGGGCGTGGCTGCGCCCGCTTCTGGGAAGCAGCCTTTAGGGGCCTCTGAGTTTAGAGAAAGCGGCTGGTGCTGCCGGATGGGCCGTCGTGTGTCCAGCCCTCAGCCGCGGTGCCTGGACGGTCGTGGGCGGCCGTGTTACAGGTCAGCGCGGGCCGTTAGGGCCGCACAGAGCAGCCGGCAAAGGGGAGCCCGCCCCCCGCCTGTGGCCGTCACGGCTGCCCATCCAGAGGTGCTGCCGGCAGAGTCCTAGCGGGGAAGGTGTTCTCTTGACGAGGAAACAGCAAAATGGAAATGACTTAATGGTCATCAAATGTATGCAAAATGTGACACGGTGGCATTTTCATTCAGTAATTCAGTATCGACAAGTTTTATTGCATTTACATTAAAATTGTTTTTGCAAGAATTCCCGACTATAAAAGGATGATAGTAAGGAATTAGAATCAGTGGCAAACTATGCGAATTATTTATAGCTAAACAATTACAAAAGCAAAATTTTAAATACTCCTTCAGATTTTTTGGCGGGAGCCGTTTATGTTGAACAGCGGGTGTGGATGCGTTTTTGCGTGTGATGTAAAATGAGCGGCGCCTGACAGAAACGAGTGTCTAAGCACGGAGAGATCTGGAGAGTGGATAGAACACTTATCACTTCAGGATTCAGTTCCGTATATGCCAGCATTGCTTCTTGATTTGTTGGAATTCCTGGAAGTTGACGAAGTGGCCTCCAGGACTTTTAAGCGTAGGAAGAGGCGGGGAGGTGGTGACGCAATCACTCGCATTCAGCTCCCCACCTTCCACTTCTAACGATCTGGCAGAGGGAATCTACAAACACGGACTGGAAACCTTCATTCACACGTCAGAAATACTGAGTGTCTGCCGCCTGTTACACGATTGAATGGAAAGAGGGGCCAAGCTGCCTCTCGTCCCTTATCTGAAAGACCCGTTTTTGGGAGTGGATGGGAAAGATCTTGGCACACCCTCCCAGACGTCCCTGAGCCTTTGCAGTCCTTGAGTCGGGGGCCGAGGTGCCCGAGTGGCCCGGTGGTGGCCGTCCCAGCGGGGTCTCCCGGGAGTGCTGCTTCCCGCAGTCCCTGCTGTGACGGTGGAACGGCGGTGCTGGAAGGAAGAGGACTGTCCTAGACATTGCTTAGCTCTTGGTGACCACAGCGGGGTCAGGCTCTGGCGTTCCTTACTGGAAGAGGAGCGGGAACGTGGAGTCAAACATCCTTCTGGCTTCTTTCCAGGCCCCCAGCTTACTAAATCCTTGACCAGGAAAAGTAAAATCACAGTAAATTTAAACTCTGCCTCCCTTCCTCTGGGCCTAACAGACGTGTTTCGTGTAGATTAAGAGGTAAATCAAGATAAATCATGTTGTTTTCTCATCGTTATGATTTTACTGTAATTTCCTTGCTTCATGTTTGTTAGACTGATCGTTGCTCACAGCATATACAAATAAACGTGCAGTTTTGTTTTACAGTACACAGAAAATCACTGGTAAAAATAAAAATTACTACAAATTCACCCTGTAGTATGTATTTTACTTGAAACTTTGTGTCTTCAATATAAAAAGTTAAACATTAATAAATGAGATAACTAGATAGTGGAGCCACCCAATTCACCCTTGTGTTTTTAGATGTGTGTGCATACGTGTATCTGTTAGTGAGTTTTTCTGTGATGGAAGGGAAAAGCAGCAGTACTGCGTGTGGGCCCCCGACCCCCACCTCCCATCACCGCTCTCCCGCTGCCTGCCTCTGTGCACACGCTAACTTGGAATATGTGTATGTTTACATACGTAAATTCTTAATCAGCCTGTCTTGCGTAGATTGTATACATCATGATATCTGACATTCTTGTAACTGCTGTGTCATCAGTAAGATTCCTATAAGAGAAACTGCTTGTTAAAAAAGCAAACACACCATGCTGAGAGGGGTGACATATCCCACATTAGCGGGTGGTCACTTTATTTATAGGGTCATGAAAACAAGTACATTTTTAATGAACTAAGGTGAATAAAGGCATAACTAAAAATTGTCACAAAAAAAGAAAGAGATAGTGGAGCTAGTGTTTTAGTCAAATACAATGGAACTGTCTTCTGTTGGTGTTAACACCTTTCTAAGCAGGAAAATTTGTCTGTACCTTTTTTTTTTTTAATAAGGTTAGAGAACTGAATAATGTCTTCTTTGCAGGTTTCCTCTTACCCGACCCAGTCTTTGTAAAAAATGGGAGGCGGCTGTGAGAAGAAAAAACTTTAAACCCACCAAGTATAGCAGTATTTGTTCGGAACACTTTACTCCAGACTGCTTCAAGAGAGAGTGCAACAACAAGCTACTGAAGGAGAATGCTGTCCCCACAATATTCCTGTGTACTGAACCGCACGACAAGGTGATGCGTGTTTTAAGATATCGGCTTGTTTTCTATTTGTAGAATTAATGTGTTCAATGTGGAAAATTCAGGGTATTGTTAAGAAAATAAATGTTACCTGGAACCCATCACTTATGTAAATAATCACTGTTAGCAGTGGTATACTTTTAAAAAATACTAAATGCAGTTTATTAAAGTTAAACATCCTCACATTAAGAAACTCAGTCTACATTTGTAACTTCCTTTAAGATCACACTATACCCCTATTTGTATGTTGATGAGTTTTGGTTTTTCTTTGTCAATGACAGCTCAGTTTCGAAGTATTTTTCCCCTCAGTTTTAAGTGTTTAGTACTAATTAAACCTTATTAATCATTCTTGTTCTTTCTTGTATCCCATTCCTACATCAGGTAAAAAAGTAAAATTAAAACTTAAATGATTTTCTCATTTTGGAATGTTTTTATACCAGAGAGTCACAAAAAATTCTAGTATTCTTACATTCCACAGATGAATTCTTTTGAACTGTTGCTTTTAGTCACTAAATTCAAACCCACTCTGCGTTATTGTTTTAGAAGGAAGATCTCCTGGAGCCGCAAGAACAGCCTCCCCCGCCTCCTTTAACGCCTCCGGTTTCCCAGGTTGACGCTGCTATTGGATTGCTGATGCCTCCCCTCCAGACCCCTGATAACCTCTCAGTTTTCTGTGACCACAACTATACCGTGGAGGATACAATGCACCAGAGAAAAAGGATTCATCAGCTAGAACAACAAGTTGAAAAACTCAGAAAGAAGCTCAAGACCGCGCAGCAGCGATGCCGAAGACAAGAACGACAGCTTGAAAAATTAAAGGAGGTCGTACACTTCCAGAAAGAAAAAGACGACGTATCAGAAAGAGGTTATGTGATTCTACCAAATGACTACTTTGAAATAGTTGAAGTACCGGCATAAAAAATGAAATTTGTATTCATTTTTAATGGGCAATACCACATACCCTCTTCTAGCCTATAAAGGAGTTTCATTTGAAAAAATAACACTTGATTACTTGTATAAAAACAGTTCAGAATATTTTTTTAAAAAAATAAATTAGATATGTACTGTAAAATGGTAAAATTTTTGTTTGTAATTTCAGGGTTTTTACATTTTAACAAAATATTTTAAAAGTTATAAACTAACCTCAGAGCTCCAATGTAAGTTGGTTTCAAGATTTGGGATTTTTAGTTTTTAATTTGAGTATTTGTAGAAATAATGTAAAAATAGAAAGTAAAGAGAATGAGAACAGAACAGTAAGGGTGATTTAATTTTAAAGTTTAAAATTAATGCCGTTTATTGAGAGAACTTAGTTATATTTTAAATCAGAAGTATGGATCAGATCATGGACATAACTTCTCAGAATATATATATTCTTATTAACATTTTTATTTGTAAAGTCAGAAGATTTATTTGTCTTTCTTATCACTTGTCAAAAATAAATTGGCAAGTCAGTACTTTAAAAAAATTGGTTGTCTTCAAAGCAGAAAATGAAGAGTCATTCCATACCTAATGAGTATGGTTAAATAACTTTATAAAGAATGGATTTTTTAAAAGTGGGCCTCTCTTTTGTCCCCCGCTGTCTGGCATTATAAAATTAGAAGAGTATCTTCAGTGGAAGCAGCATTCTTGAGTAGACAAAGTAGGCATTGTTATCAGTGAAGGAGGAAACGTGGGCGCCTCATCCCTGGTGTGCCTTCCTCTCTCACCCCAGAGCTAGGGGCGTCCACCCCGCGAGGCAGTTCTTCTGCGTCCAGACCCTAACCAGCGGGCTTCCGCAGCAGTCTGAGCTGTACCGTAATATGGTGACCTTGCACTTGACTAATGGATTTTGGTCAAGGCTTTACATAAAAAATTATTTCTTCACTTTTAACACAAGTTAGAAAGTATATCACATTTTCTTAAATGAATGATTTGTATTCAAAAACAACCTAATATGTAGTGTTTATTTTACTGAATGTTGAGATTTAAACACTGAGGTTTCTATTCAAACTGTGAGTTGTGTTCTGACTTTGTAAGAAATTTTACATATATTTGAAATGAAAATATGTTCCGAATAAACAAATACTGCCACAGAGATTACTTAGATTTAGAGTAACTGTTCCAACTAGAATTATTTTATATTTCAAAGTATGCTGAGATAGTTGAAGAGTAACAGATCTTTTCAGGCAGTATTAAATTAAGACATGAAACAATGGCGTTCGAAAGTGTCTTTTGTAGACCTGATTTTCGGTATAATTTACTGCCATGCTGCCAGAGGATAGTAGTTTGATTCATGGAGATTTGTTTTTTATGAACCGGTATTTCAAAAATAGAAAATTATATTAGAAGATTACTTAAAGTTGTATAGTCTGATAACATTTACATCTAACTCTAATGAATATTTTGCAAAGTATATATCTTCAATCCAAATTGTCATCTACATAAAAGAAAATCTGTGTGTGTGTGTGCGTCCAGAACCAGGAATCCAACAGTGAATTACAAAAGTGGTAATCATAATTACTTAGCATCTTAGCATTATGATTTAACCTGAAGCTGCTTTCTTTTTATAACAGACGTAAGCCATATTTGGAGAGAACTGAGTAAGCAGCGTGTGTACCAACTGTTTGCATTGAAATAATTTATTGTAGCTTAACATAGGGAGTTTGAGTACAGGTGCTTATTTCAGAATTTGAGATGTAACATTTGTTGAATGTTTTTAAAATTCATTTTATCTGTTGTGTTGTTTATGACATTGCCAAGAAAAAGAGAACATTTAGGCTAAAATAGGTCCCATTCAAGCATAACGAAACTCAGTCTGAAACAAACAGGGGCAAAGACTCAATCTAGAACACATGGGCAGAAGACACATGTGAGTTGCAGCGTATTCTGAATGACATTTATTTTAAGCACATATGGTAACAACCTAAAATTTCCATTTGTGTGTGACATAATCTGGCCATAATGATGAGAAGGAATAGCTGTTTCTTAAGTGCTAGGAAAACTATAGAATCATAGAATTTGAGAATTAAAAGGGACTTAGAAACCACTGAACACTAGCCTAACCTCCAAAACCTGCAAAATCCTCTTGTAAACTGTCCTTGACCAGCGTCCTCTGTTCTCTGTGCCATTTACATTTAAGCAATTGTTCTGCTTACATTCTTTAAAATGGATTTTTGGATTAGAATAGAATTAGTTGCCACTCTTTATACTTGTTTATAGTGCAAATATAAACTTCACTTTGAACTGCAGCATAGTTTGAAGTATCAGATTCCCAATTAAAGAAGTTTTAAAATTTTGGAAAGTAATTTAAATGTTTACTAATTGTATACTTGTTACATGTACTAAAAATAATTCTGTCATTGCAGTAAAGAAATGATGGTGGTGAAAATTATTAGCAAAACTTTTTACTTGGAAATCCAAGTACATGAGGAGATTTTTTTTCTTTTAACCATAATTTGTGTAATCCCTTTCTTAGAAGTATAACAATAATGGTGAAGGCAAATGAAAGGTTCACTTCATAGGGATTTTTTTTAGGTTAAGTTAATATTCGCTAGTCATCTTTAGTTGTTAAAAAAAATTATACACACAAACCTATGGCTTTTATGCCCAACATCTGTGGCTTTTATAAACTCAGTAGTAAGCAACAGAAAATAATGTATTCAAAAGTCCATAAGATCTATAAAAAGAAAACTTCATTTGTGTTCCAGAATTTTTTAAAGAAAGCCAGCCATGAATAGCATTTACAGGAAAAAGAAGCCAGATTTGCTTGCTTGGTCCTTACTCTTCCTGATGTTGGGGACCCCGTGATTCACATGCACAGTGAGTGAAGAGCACTGCTCCTGGCTGGTGGTGGCTGGTGTCTCTGGGTGTTATGGTTTAAATAGCTGTGTATTAAAACACAGTCCTTGATGTCAAAGAAAAATAGCAAAGAGCAAACTGATTTACAAACAAGCACAAAAGCAGTTACAATTGTACTTAACAGAAAAGTTTGCTCAAATTAATATTCTTTTACAATTCATGTCTTCATATCTTTTTTACCTTGGATGTGGTTTTATTCTGAGTTTTTTGTCTTCTGAGTGATAAATATTTTTTAAACTAAAAATTCATTGAGAATCTATTCATTTTTAAATTAATAGTATTTTGGGTTTTGAGATTATCAAAATTTCATTTTTTAAATATCCTAAGGGATAAATATGAATAAACTTAAATTGTTTTTGGTGAGATAAACTACAAGATTAACATTAAACAGATGACTTCTGGAATGGCTACATGAGGAGCTCCAATCTGCTGCCCACCATAACTACCATCACTGGTGAAAAAAATTTTTTAAATAATCATTTAAAATCTGCATATCGTCCTAAGGGCATACAGTAAATGAAGAAACATTTAGGAAAATCTAAATCTCTGTAAGAACTGTCCACGAAAATAATCCGTAACCAATCTATAAATGAAAATTTGGGTGAGTTTATTCTGAGCTTAAATCTTAGGATTATAACCTGGGAGAGTATTTCCACAAAGGAACAGAGCACTCCAAAGAAGTGGGGGTACACAGGGTGGTTATATACCCTCAAAGAGGGTGTTTCGAATATGATTGAAATGTCCCTCCCACAATAGTCACAAGATTGCCCTGTCTGCACAGCGCTTGATGGGCTCAGCAGGTAGTGGGTCTGCTATCTTGGTGGGCATAGCAGGAGGCAAGTCTATTGTCTCAAGCTGGGCGGTCACAGGTGAGTGCAGCAATCAGTTTCTAGCCTAAGGAAAGATACTTAATCCTTAAGGAGACGCCAACATTGGGAGGGGGAGGGAAGTTGCACTTTTATCTCAAGGGCCTTTTGCTCTTTCCATAGGGAATCTCTAAAGCAGGTATACAATGCATGCTCAATGCCTCAGTCAGGCCCTTTTGGAAAGACAAGGTCAGGCCGAATTAGGTTTACACCAAATGGCTTCCTCATATTTTCCAATATATCCTATTACTTGCCATTTTTATTTGTCAGAACATTAAGAGTCTGTGGTATTTATGCTACAACCTATTCTCTCCCTAACCTCTCTCCACCCCACCCCCCAGCCCCCATAGCTCAGTGCTACAGAAGCTCCACTCTGAGTGGGTATGGCCAAGAAGACAATGCTCCCTCTTCTCCCAACCCCCAACTAAGGACTGTGGTATCTCCCAGGGAGGGGCAGGCTACCAGTATTTCTAATGCCCCTCTAGCTTTGTGTTGCAGAGGCTAAACTCCAGGTGAGTTCAGCGAAGAGCTCAGAACTCCCTTCCCCCAACCAGCTCCAACTCATAGTCTGGAGGCTCTACCCCAGTGCAGCAGGCCAAGACTACTGGGACCCTCATTACCCTCTCCATAGCTTGCTCATAGGGCAAAGTTTCCATGCCAGGAGAAGCAAGCCAAGAAGACTGGTGGCTGCCATACCAACAGAGCCCTGTTTATAAAGCAGGCAATCTTAGAGAAGCAGGTAATGATCCCCACCCCTAGCTCCAGAGCAGTGACTCAGATTTTTGCCTAGGGAAGAGGCAGGCCTTAAGAACAGAGACCTCTGAAGCTCTCTCCGAAGGAACTGATTTTGTTTGGGAGAGTGTTGAGAAGCTCAAGCTTAAAGGTGCTCTCAAGAACAATGGAGAATTTAGAGGTAAGCAATTAAGAGGAGGCTGGTAGCTCTATAGGAGCAGCAAGCTGAATTGTAGGCTAGCTAATTTATCAGAGAGAACCAGGGAAAGAGACAGGTAAGGAGAGCCTTCCTGGGGTCACAACAAACCTAACTAGCCTCAAAAGCTACCTCTGCAAAAGGCCCAAATCTAATTAAATCAGACTGCAGAGCAATTTACACCCCAGGGCATTGTCAAAACCAGAGCGATCAACTGGCAATTGGAGATGATATCTGAATGTGGTGCCAACAAAGGCAGATAGTTTAATAGATCAGGGAAATAAAGAAAGCCCTGTTAAAATGTCTGTCACCCTAGGTGACTGCATGCCCAAGGCACCTCTAAGGAATAAAGAGACTTGACACTGAAGGGAAATAAACTTCACTAAATTAGTGCAGCCAAGTAATTAAATAAAAAAGTAAACACAACAAGCCTGGGGAGAGGGGAGGGTAGCCAGAATCAGTGTTCAGAGATCCTACCATATATAATATAAAATGTCCAGTTTTTAACAAAAAGTTATGAGACACGCAAAGAAACAGGAAAGTGTAACTCATATACAGGGAGCAAAAAAGCAGGCAACAGAAACTGAGAGGCCCAGATGTCAGAATTAACAAGCAAAGACTTCAAAGCAGCCATTATAAACATTTTCAAAGAAGTAATGGAAACCATGCTTAAAGAAGTAAAGGAAGGTATGTTGACTATATCTCATCAAAAAGAAAATATCAATAAGGGGATACAGAGAAAAAGAACCAAATGAATATTCTGGAGTTGTAAAGTGCAATAACCAAAATGAAAAATTGACTACAGAAGCTCAACAGATTTTTCTGAAGAAAAATCAGTGAACTTGAAGATAGACAGAGGTCATGCAATCTGAAGAAAAGAGAGAAAAAAGAATGAAGAAAAATGAGCAGACCCTCAGAGAAGCATGGACTACTATAAGGCACACACCAATCTATGTGTAATGGGAGTACCAGAAGAAGAGAGGAGCAAGGGGAGTGGGGGAGGCAGAGAAGAAGGGAGAAGGGGAGAGGGAGGGAGAGAGCAAGAGGAGCAGAAAAAATATGTGAAGAAATAATGGCTGAAAACTTCCCAAATTTGATGAAAAACACTCAAGAAGCTCCACAAATACCAAGTAAGATAAACACGAAAAGATCCACACCCAGACACATCATAGTAAAAACGATCAAAACCAAAGACAGAGAAAAATTAGAAAGCAGCAAGAGAAAAATGATGTTATATACAAGGGAACCCCAATAAGATTAACAGCTGACTTCTCATTAGAAAAAATGAAGGTCAGGGGGCAGTGGGATGACACATTCAAAGTGCTGAAGGAAAAACTTGTTAACAAAGAATATTCTATGTAGCAAAACTATCTTCCAAAAATGAAGGTAAAGAAGGAGGTTTCTGGGAAGATAGTGGAATAGGAAGCACCAGGAATCTGTCTCCCCACCTGGGCAACAATGGCACTAGCAGAATCTGTCTGATAGAAGTATTTGAAATTCTGGAATCCATTAAGTCTTGCAGCTTCCAGGGGAAGGCTTGAATGATAAACTGCAGCTAACATCAGTCAATTTTAGCTCTTAGCTCAGTGACAGCTACCCCTCTCCCACCCCCAGCCCCATGGCAGGCAGTGGAAGAGTTGCAGGAGAAGCTTGCATGCAGCTTGTGCAAGCCATGGTGGGTACGAAGGATCACGTCCTGCAAATATCGGAGATCCGTGCTTCTGATCTGAAAGTGCAGACAGACAGGTGGGCAGCCACTGTTGCATCCCTCTCGCTGCTGTGACCCCTTCCCTGTGGCTGAGTGATGCTGGGATCGAGAGGGCTAGTGCCTTCCCTCCCACTTCATTTTTTCTATCCTTTTGGGAGATAGGCATTAAAGACTAGGGCATTCGTCCCCTACACATACAGGGAAATTAGAAGTCACCACACAGACCCAGGGAAAGGTGCAGGCTCAGAAAGACTGGAGAAGACCTTACATTTATACTTCACGTTGATCCCCAGCAGAGCCTTGAGAGATAACCTAAAACAAACAAAAACAGCAAACCCTGGGGAGGGGGAGGAATCTGTTTTCCAGAATTACTACATCATTAGATCCAAATATCCAGTTTTTAACAAAACAAATCATTAGGCATACATGAAACAGGAAAGTATGGCACATTCAAAGGGAAAAGTAAATCCAAAGCAACTGTCACTGAGAAAGAGCCGATGGCAGACCTACTAGACAAAGACTTTAAAACAATTGTCTTAAAGATCTTCAAGAACTAAAGAGAGACATGGAGAAAGTCAAGAAAGCAATGTATCCACAAAAGGAAAATAGCAATAAAAAGACAGAAAACCTTAAAAGAAACTAAAAAGAAATTCTAGAGCTGAAAAGTATAATAATAGAAATGAAAAATTTGCTACACAGTTTGAAGGCAGATGTGAGCAGACAAAAGAAAGAATCAGCAAGCATGAAGCTAGGACAATTGAAATTATTGAGTGTGAACAAGAGAAAGAAAACAGATTGAAGAAAAGGGAGCAGAGCCTAAGGGACCTGTGAGACAGCAATTAGTAGACCAACATATACCTTATGAGAGTCCCAGAAGGAGAAGAGTGAGAAGGGGCAGGGAGATTATTTAAGAAAATAATGCAAGTTTAATGAAAGACATGAATATAAATATCTGAGAAGGTCAATGAACTCCAAGTAGAATGACCTCAAAGAGACTCACATTCAGACACCTTATAATCAAACTGTCA